ATGTTTCACTTTCTCAACTATTTCTGGTTCAGGACATGCTATATTCTTTACAGTTTAATTCAAACATCTTTATTTACTAGTAAATAATGTGCAAGTAATTTGTGGGTGAACTCAAAGGTGAGCAAGAGATGATCCTTGCCTTTGAGGAGCTTAAGGTCTATGAGGGAACAAAAGGACAAGTAAAAAAATGACTGTCAGGAAGGCAGAATAGGGGAGTTTTAAGAGACACAGAAGGGTTAAAGGAGTAAGAGTCCACATCCATGGGGCGGGAGCAGAGAAGGAAGCAGGGAACCAGAAAACAAAAATGTTCTCGGCAGAAGTGCCTTTTGAAAAGGGCCCTGAAGTACTGATAGAATTGATGTAGGCGCCTTATGTAAATGGAATCATATATTATTTGTCCTTTTGTATCTGGCTTATTTCACTTAGCATAATGAAAAGACAATTTTTATGTAATCAAATGTGTTGCTCATGAGTTTTTAAAATACACTGTAACAGGGCTTCCGTGGTGGCACAGTGATTAAGAATCCGCCTGCCAACGAAAGGGACACAGGTTCCAGCCCTGGTCTGGGAAGATCCCACATGTCGCGGAGCAACTATGCCCATGCACCACAACTACCGAGCCTGAGCTCTAGAGCCTTCAGGCCACAACTACTGAAGCCCGTGTGCCTAGAGCCCATGCTCCACAAGAAAAGTCACTGCAGTGAGAAGCCCGTGCACCGCAACGAAGAGTAGCCCCTGCTCGCTGCAACTAGAGAAAGCCCGCGCGCAGCAACAAAGACCCAATGCAGCCAAAAAACTTAATTAAATAATAAATAAAATAAATAACTAAAATACACTGTAACAAGAATAAAAGGACCATCAAAACCTAGAAAAACATGTTTGCAACATATATGACAAACAAAGGTCAAATGCATTACGGTGGTTACCAGGGGCTGGGGACAGTGGGGGGACGGATAGAGAGTTAGTGCTTAATGGGTACAGAATTTCAGTTTGGGAAGATGAAAAAGTTCTGGAGAGGGACAGTGGTGATGGTTGCACAACAATGTGAATGTATTTAATGCCACTGAACTGTACACTTAAAAATGGTTAAAATGGTAAATTTTTTTTTGTTGTTGTTATGGGCATTTTAACCACAATAATGACAATTAAATGTTTCAAGGATCCTTGGGTTTGTATCTGCTTAGAAAGACTTCCCACGCCTGAAGATGATAGAGTTGTTTATTCTTCTAGAGGTATTGTTTGTTAATATGGAGTTGGTAGGAGAACCAACTTTTGCACAGGTGTTTGAGGTGAAGAAGAGAGGCTTCTGCAACAGTCAGGGGAGAAAGTGACAAGGACCTGAAGTAAGGTGATGCAGTGGAAGGGCCAGTGTCTTCCGACTGGGAAAGTAGGATGAAAGGATTTGGCTTTCAACTGGATATATGCATGGAAGGTACTTGAATGTTTGTTGATCCAGAAGGGAACAGAAAGTCAATACAGAGAACACCTGAGGTTTCTAACCCAGGCAGCATGCACAATAGTAATAATAACATTAATTGATTGATACTAATATTCACTGACATAGGAAGATTAGGTTTGTGGGTGGAATAGGATGTGTTCCATTTTGGACATGCTACTATTTTTAGAGGCAGGCAGGTCAGCCATCTGGGTGAGTTCCAGAAAGCAATCAAAAGGTGGATCTGCTGTGGAAAAACATTAAGGGGGAGAAATTTGACTTGGAACCCAGCCAATCAAGATGATTGCTGAAGTTATGGGATTGTATGGGAGAGTATAAGAGTGTCAAGAGAGAATGGATAAGACCTTGAAGAATTTTAGCCCTTCAGTGGGACGAAGAGGAAGTATAGCCAGAGCAGCAAATAATTTGTAGAAAAGGTACTTGAAAGGGGCTTGACGAAAGGGTTTTAACAACAGAAGACTGGAGGGTTGGGGTAGCGGAGGTGGTTAAAGAGTTCCAAGCAGAAATAAGAATGTGAAGAAATAGCGAGCAGGAAAGCGCTCCACCAAAGAAGCCCTTCAGTAAACCAGATGTTGAATAAATTTGTTGTAGAATCGGAGGTTTCAAGGATGGGTTAGTCAACGTCATTACTGTGGAAGAGAAGATGATGACCAAGAACAGGCCATTTCCCTCAGGGTAACTGTGACTATTGACATTTGGTTGCTTGAGCATGAAAAGTCTGACAGCATTTGATCTACTTCACTTAAGCTCCAGCCAAAGATATCCGGTAAATTTGGAATGTCTCAGGTTTCTAAACATAGTCAGCGTCCTCTATCCTAGGGTTAGGTTGGGTGTTCCAATTTCCTTTGTTGTGACGCATCTTTGTGCCAGCTCCCAAACAGGTGGTTTTCAGTCTACCTTCATCATTACTTTTTGTTTGTTGTGGTTGTTTTTGAAGTTTTTTTTTTTTTTTTTTTTTTACTGTACGCGGGCCTCTCACCGCTGCGGCCTCTCCCATTGCGGAGCACAGGCTCCGGACGCACAGGCTCAGCAGCCATGACTCACGGGCCTAGCCGCTCCGTGGCATGTGGGATCTTCCCGGACCGGGGCACGAACCCGTGTCCCCTGCATCGGCAGGCGGACTCTCAACCACTGCGCCACCAGGGAAGCCCTGTTTTTGAAGCTTTGTTAATTTTTTTAAATGAGAAATGGGATGAGATCATGTTTCCAGGGAAAGGTGATAATGGCAGCAATGTTACTGTCCATGGTTCAAGTATCATACTGCACATGTGTGCTGTCAGAGGGTGGCAAGAAAACTATCTAAGCCCAACTTGAGTTCTACTTTCCCCAAAGACCCTACACCTGGTTTCAGAGTCACAGTTTGGTTGCTATTAAAAAGATACGTAGAATTAACAGCTTGAAAAAAACTTCAGAGTTCCATTTTTCATTCTCAGCCTGGCAAAGATATACAAAGTTTGATAACTGTGGGAAAGCAGGCACTTGTCCTACAGTGCTGGTGGGAGAGTGAATTGCCACGACCTCTTTGGAAGGCAACTGACAATATTTACCAAATGCACATGTCCTCTGACCCAGGGTATTCGAGACAAGATGATTCCCTGCAGCATAATCTGTTGTGGCAAAGATGGCAACAACCTAAAATGTCCATCAACAGAGACTGGTTAAATAATTATGGTGTATCTTCACCACGAAATACTTTAGGCGTTACTGCTTCTTTATGCATAAAATAGCTCTGGAACTATACGTTAGAAACTGGTCACCCTGGTGGCCTCTGGGAGGGGACTGGGCTAAAGGGACAGGGATGGGAGGGACTTTTCATTTGCCTTCTATACCTGATGAATGTATAACCTACCTCCACCCACCACTCTGAATGAAGCAAGACAGTTTCCTGGTGGCAGAGAGTACACTAATAGTTTTTAACATATTAGGAATCTTGAGATAAATCCTAACCACAGTCCTGAGTTATGATGGGAATCATTTAGAGAAGTTCAGGAGTTGAAGGCCATCTCATGTTTCCCACCCACCTTTTCTCTCCACACAGAACACAAGGCATGAAGGAAGGGAAGGATAAGAGCAAGACAGCACAAAGGAGCCATGAAGCCAAGAACTTGTAGGACAGACACTTTATTAAGACTTGCTTATAATAAAACATTCAACCCTTTGACGTGTCCATTAGTTTGTTATTTTGTTTTTTGCTGGAGACCACAGCCTGATGCCCAAAAGCCCTTAGCCTCATCTTACGTCAGTCTAGTCAACGGCTGCCTATTTTATAGTTCAACTAATTGAGAGTCAGGAAAATCTGGTCTTAACATCCCAAATTAAGGGCTGAAAGATTTACAACCCATTTATATAAAGTGCTTATGTTCAGTGCAAAAAGGGCAGACTCAGAAGGGCAAGCAGATGCCAGGAAATGATGTTTTCTGGGAGACAGATGCATTTTATGACTCAAAGCCACTTGTCAGACTTTCCCATAAAGGGGTCTAGTATTTTCTTTTCAGTCTCTCCCCTCTCTAAGAGGACCAAAACTTTGAATCTGACAAACGCTCTTACAGTTGTTTACTATTAAAAAAACCTGGTTCAGAGGGAAATCCACAGGGTTTCTAAGCGCCAGAGATAGTGACTTTGGCTTCTAGCTCCCGTTTCTCTCAGCAGCAAACGTGAGATCAACAGGCTGAGCTCTGGCTGGTGGGAGGCTCGCAGCTGCGGAGCTTTCCTCACACCCCTCATTTGCAAATCCAAGTCATGGACTATGGAAGACCTTTTCCAAAACGCTGTCACATCTCTGGTGGGAAGACAGGCCAATGCTTATTAAAGGAGCACTTCACCTAGTTGCCCAACTGGACATGACCTATTTCACCATCCCCTTGTTTAATTCTTCTTTTTAAAAAATAAATTTATTTATTTATGGCTGAGTTGGGTCTTTGTTGCTGTGCACGGGTTTTCTCTAGCTGCGGCAAGCAGGGGCTACTCTTCGTCGCGGTGCTCGGGCTTCTCACTGCAGTGGCTTCTCTTGTTGCAGAGCACGGGCTCTAGGCGTGCAGGTTCAGTAGTTGTGGCACACGGGCTTAGCTGCTGCGTGGCATGTGGGATCTTCCCGGACCAGGGCTCGAACCTGTGTTCCCTGCACTGGCAGGCGGATTCTTAACCACTGAGCCACCAGGGAAGCCCCCCTTGTTTAATTCTTGTCCGCTGGCCCAACTTCAAAGTGAATCCGTGACTCTCTTTGTTAAGACAAAGAAGTGCACTGCCTTCTCAACGACCTTGGGTCTCTGCGTGTCCATCCTTTTGTTCCAAAGAGACTGAAGAGAAGCAGGAGGGAAGAGGAAGTGATTTCCTAACCAATTTAAGGAGCACATATAGGACTGTAACTCAAACAGGCAAAGTCCAGCCATTCAGTTCCAGGGTCTCGGCTACTGTTTCTCTCCCCAGACTCTCACTTTGCAGCAGGGATATTGACAAGAGCCAGTTCTTTGCTTGTCAACAACCCTCCTGCAATCCTGTTTGGAGAGGTTCCCTTTTCTCTCCCTGTGGATAAACGTGATGGCACCCAGACCCCATCACGTGTACAGGTAGCCACAGCTTTCAGATGCCAGCACCTGAGGACCTTTCTGTTCAGACCACCTTCCGAAGATTCATGGTAACTCTGGCGCTTGTGAGAGGAGAGACACTCAGAATGGTTTTATACCACAGGAGGCAACTGCCCTAAAGCCATCTCTGAATTTGGGGACGGGAAGGAGGGAAGAAGAGGAAATCCTTTTGATGCTGCTCTATAATTCTCTGTTAAAACCCTTCCAGTCACGAGGAGCTACTGGAACGTCTCCACACAGAGGGAACTGTGTACAAACAGGATGAACCCGGGTTAAGAACCAAAAACGCGGGGAAGGTTTTCAGACAGGCAGAAGTCTAAAGTAAAGTGCCTCTTTGCAGTGGGGGGAGAGTTTCATTTGTTCAGAAATGCTTGGGCGTAAACATGAGCGCAAAGAGCGTGCACACACACACACTCACTCTGAGGTAGAAAGAACTGGCCATCTCCAGACAAACACAGACTCCACAGTTTTACAGAAACATGGCACTTGTGTGAAAGGTCCTGTCTTTGCCCAGGATGGCAAGTCGGGTCCAATTCCAGCTCTTTCCCACCTGGGGTGGAGCCAGGGAAGTCCCGTCCCACAGGAGGAAAGAGCTGGAAGCATCCCATCACTCCCCTCCCACAGTTGTCAGGCCCCGTAGTCCAGGGTCACTTCCTGGAGCCCGAGCCGTGGGCGCCCCGGCTGTGGCTTGTCAGAAGCCACTGGGAGCAGATGTCTTGCACTACTGCGTCCCCACTGCTCTTGGCGGCCTGCTGCACCTGCTGGACGAGGACCGCGGCCCGCGAGTGTTCTTGCTTCACGGCGATCAAGTAGGCAGAACGCAGCTTGCAACATGTCAGGTAGGCCTGAACCTGCCAGTTGGGTGTAAGAAACAGCGGGAAGGAAACCGTCACTGACAAGTCACCAACAGGCACACAGAGAGCTCAAGCAGATGAGATACCACTTCTCACCTACCAATCAATAATTGGGCTCTTGGGCTTCGCTGCTGGCGCAGTGGTTGAGAATCTGCCTGCCAATGCAGGGGACACGGGTTCAAGCCCTGGTCTGGGAAGATCCCACATGCCACGGAGCAACTGGGCCTATGAGCCACAACTACTGAGCCTGCACATCTGGAGTCTGTGCTCCGCAACAAGAGAGGCCACGATGGTGAGGGGCCTGCGAACCGCGACGAAGAGTGGCCCCCACTCGCCACAACTAGAGAAAGCCCTCGTACAGAAACGAAGACCCAACACAGCCAAAAATAAATAAATGAATAAATTAATTTAAAAAAAAGATACTCTGTCAAAACAGATTAGAGGTTATTAGGAAAAAAAATAATTGGGTTCTTGCCTTTTATTACATTACGGCCACTCTTTAAATATTACACTGTTATTTTATAGTGTAAAAAGTTTTTACAAATAAGCTAAGAATTTCAAAAAGAAGAAGGTAGGCAGGCAGAGTCTGGCCGCTAACCACTCCCTCCAAGGCCCTCCTCACTCGCCTGGGCTCTCCAGCCTCCTCCTGGCCTCGCTGCCGACAGACTGTGGTTTTGTAGTTATCTGGCTGATGATTTGATTGATGATTGCCTCCTTGGCCAGGATGGCAGGAATAGTGTCTGCTTTTTCTAACCATTCCTGGTGCCTAGCACAGGGTCTGGCATGCAGGTGTTCAATGAAAATGCATGAAGTGAATGAGTGAATGAATGAGCCATCATACCTGCCCCCTACAATGGGCACACAGAGCCCCTTTCTCTATTTTCTGTTTCTGACCTGCTGAATTAAAAACATTTTAACCAGAAATTTTGGGAAGACAACGCACACAATTAGAAAAACTCTAAATAAGGCGTGACCCCAGGTTGATCTGACTTGCAGTTTGGCACAGAGGCAGCTCAGTTTCCTACATTCAGGACACCCTCCAGCTCAGGAATGCCCAGCTGGGTGGAGACGAGAGCCCCTGCCTTCCCTGGCCACAACCTCACCAGCACCTCCCTGGTTAGCCAGGGTTCCAGGCCAGCGAACAGCAAGGCCCAGGTGAGTTGCCTCAGAGCTCCCGCTAGCAGCTGCCTTTCTGCCGTGACAGTCCTTCTGGTGGTTGGAGGGGACTCTTCTCTCTTGATGTTTCAATGCTCCATCTTCTTTTTTTACCTTGGTCACTGAAGTCTTCCTTTCCTAAGCTCAATTACAGATAATCGCCTACAGCTAGAAGACATGTTCTGACATGTCTGAGCTCTCTGAAGTGATCAAGTCCTGCAGTATGGTTATCTACCTGCTGCCCTAGGACATTCGCTTCACCCAGGCCCTCAGCTCTGCTTGGTACCAGTGTACATTAAACAGAATATCACAAGTTGGCAGGTAAAATTCCTACCTAGAGGAGGAGGGCATTTGTCCAGAAAGTCTGGAATAGAAACTGAACGAAGCTGTTTTTTGGCAAGATCCTGTGACCTGAGATCACGTAAGTGTGTTAGAACAGCTGCTGCCAGAAAAAACCTGAAAAAGTAATGACGATGGTATAGCTTTCAGCGTCCATCTTTGCCAGGCACAAAGTCTCTGTCCTACAGAACAGGAGGATCACTGAAGGCTTGGAAAAGAACCATAGCCGGAGAATCAAGAAACCTGGGTGTCTGGCCTGGCTGTCGGGTTCTCATTTTGATTCTAGAAAAGTAATTTTCCACATTTCAGGATGTCAGAATTCCACCCCTTCCACAGGACGTCATCAGCATGTTGCAGAATTAAGTGAAGAAATGTTAAGAACAGCTTCTCCCTAACCTCAAATGAAAAATGCCCTGCAAATTCAGTCCAGGGATTAGCAATACCGCCGTGGGGAGCAGCAATGTGGCTGCGTGAGAAGCTGTTTGCCTAACATTAGTTTTCTTCACAAGGGACTCAGCTGCCAGATCATTCCGCTGCTAGTGGGCAGGGCAGGCTGGCTTGGCTTTCTCCTGCCTCTCTTGGCCTGTGGGCCTTCCTCCAGATGGCAGGTGGATTGAACCTGCGGTGAGGCCACAAACAGGAGCCGCTGGCACCCTTCCCAAAGGTTCACCGATTTCCCTCCCACTCAACAGGAAGAGCCTGCAGGCCCCAGGGGCAAGGCCTGTTCTGCAGACTGAGGCACCAACAGACATCGTTGGTCAAAGGGTTGGGTGGGTGTTTTCCTTACTGTAGAGGGTACACTTGTTCCTCCAGGATAAAGAGATGCCTGCTCACTCTGAGAACCTCATGCAGTGAGTCCATCTGAAGATGAAAGTGAGGATTTCCTAGGGCTCTGAGAGAAAACCTCCATAGGAAATGGAGAGTTGAGAGAAGCCTAGGACATGTGTGTCTTGGGGGATAAAGAAATGGGAGGGCAAAGGCTCATGTGGTCAGGTTTCTCACGTTCCCCACCTATTCCCTCCCTTCTACGCCCCTATCTGGGTCTCAGTCCCACCTCTGATAACAAAGAGGCTGAGATACAGGTTGAATGGTAGCGAGCAAAGGATAAAGGTGAAAAGGCAAGTCCAAAGTGCTGCTCCCGAGCGCTGCTGGGTGTGGAGACGGTTCTGCTCACCTTGCTGTCATCACTGTGCATCGCCTGGATCAGGCCCTCCAGCTCCTGTTCAGAACAGAGACACAGCAGTCATGAGATGGAGGGGTCCCCAGCGTGGCAGCCGGGGCCCAACCCAGCCTCAGCCCAGCCGTTCTGACTCAGGGTGGGGATGCCTGCCTGACCCTTCTCTACAAACTCATCACCTGGGAATTCCCAGGCGGTCCAAGGGTTAGGACCCCATGCTTTCACTGCTGAGGGCCCAGGTTCAATAGCTGGTCAGGGAACTAAGATCCCACAAGCTGCGTGGCACGGCCAAAAACCCCACAAAAACCAAACTCAACTCCTGCTGTAAGAGCAACAGAGGAAAGCTAATGATAACACTAAGCTTGGGAATCTGAGAAGCAACAGCAAACGAGGCCTGTCCTTGGCCTTCAAGAGAGGATGTGGGGCTTTCCTGGTGGCACAGTGGTTAAGAATCTGCCTACCAATGCAGGGAACACAGGTTCGAGCCCTGGTCTGGGAAGATCCCACATGCTGTGGAGCAACTAAGCCTGTGCGCCACAACTATTGAGCCTGTGCTCTAGAGCCTGCGAGCCATAACTACTGAAGCCCGCACACCTAGAGCCCATGCTCCGCAACAAGAGAAGCCACTGCAATGAGAAGCCTGCACCCTGCAAAGAAGAGTAGCCCCCGCTCGCCACAACCAGAGAAAAGCCCACGTGCAGCAACGAAGACCCAATGCAGCCAAAAATAAAATAAAGTAAATTTATTAAAAAAAAAAAAAGAAAGGATGTGGCTTTGTTCACCCCTCTAGGAAGCCATCGGGGGACATTTTTGCAGGCGACATGCTTCAAAGGCCACCTGCAGGCCCACGATGACCTCCTCTACAATCACAGGGAGAAACTCAACTCTGTCCGTCTGGAGACACTTCCTGGTGCCAACAGCATCAGACAATGGGATGCTGAGGGATGGCCTCTGGATACAGTGATTATCACCATGAATTTTCTTTCCAGCGAAGGGTTGATTAGTGAGGCCATCATTACAGAGGGGTCAGAAAGACAGAGGGATCTTGTAGAGTTTCAGGTACAGTAAGTATGGGGAAGAGAAAAATAAAGAGGGGGATGTGAAGACACTGAAATAGGCAGAGGAGCTGAGAGGTCTGGGGGTGAGCGCACCTGGGGTGGAATTTTCTTGAATGCTTCCAAGCAGTTGAGGAGGATGGTGTCCCCGTCACTTCTGGCCGCCATGCCTGACTCGCTGACACACTTGAGCAGCTGTCGGATCTCACTGTACTTCTCCCTCTCCACCAACTGCCGGGCGGCTTTGCAGTAGGTTGCGGCAGCGTCCAGCTGGAAGTCCTAGAACAGAACATGGGGTGATGGGTGTAGGGAGGCAGGGACACCAATGGCGGGAAGGAAGGTGACATTTACAGCGCTCCCACTGGGCTTGGGGTAGACAAGACTGTAGTCCCAATAGAGAACATACATAAAAAATCAGCAAAAAGTTCTTCTCTTGGAGCTCGGCAGACATTTAGGAAGCATCCACAAAAATCATAACTTTGATACCTACACTGGTACATCTCACGTGCTGTCGTGTCACTTCCTGAAAATATTCTAATCAAATGCCCAAGACCAGTTCATTCTCTCTCTAACGAGTCACCTTTCTCTTGGAAAATGGATGTCGGGGGCTGATACTGGCTGCCCTGGACACTTGGTGCTGTTAAGAGATGCCTTGGTGTTAGGAAACAGACCAATTCACCAAAAGACTGATTTGCTAGAAACTACCAGATAAACATGTTGTTGCCTTGGGGTCTTTGCCCAACAGGGAAAATGGGTGGGAAGAAAGAAATCTGTCAGATGGTTTGTGGTCTTTGATCCTTTAGATGCACACTGCGTGAAGACCGTGTCTGCCTGGAGGGTGACAGGCCTCAGCGTGCCTGTGTGTCACTGTGTGGTGGGGAGTGGTCTGGCTTTTCATGGTTTTGGCGCCCTGTTCCATCCTCTGCTCCAGTGCCGCAGCTGTACCCATGTCCTCGTATCACAAGCAACAGAAAATGTATGCCTCGAACAGGCTCCTGGGCAGTGGCCCCTCCCCCTGAATAGGACCCCCACACCGCAGCCCCTCTGCCACCTCCTCCAGCCACGCCCCCCACAATGAGGACAGCTGTGTGGAACTCTCCTAGACCTCGTTTCGGGTAGTTATTTGATAGCTTTTGATGAACTCGTCATTGGTTGCTTGGCTTTTGGCAAAGTGGCCTACGGTCTTGAATTTGACCCAGTTCTGTAACAGCCCTCTTGTTGATTTCATCCTTGATGTACGTGTAAATCTGCTTTCCTTGGTATAAAAATTTTCTGAAGAATGATCTCTCACAGAACTGTGGTCATGTGCTGATCGCCCTCGGTATAATCCTGAGTAATCTGAGTCATACCTGCAGAACCCGGAATGCAATTCCAAAACCATCTTCTACATTTTTCCCTCCTAGCATGACCTGAAAATGAGAGGGAAACGTGCTTAAAGAAGCAAGAATTACTGGAGCAGCCCCTCAGTCACGAACGAGGCCCTCACTCGTTCAGTTATTCAACAAATATTTGTGGAGACTCTACTGAGTGCAGGCACTAGCGATACAAGCGTAATCAAAACGGACTCAGTCTCCAGCCTTCCGGGGCTCTCATTCCATCGGGGAGGCAGCCAACAAAAGAATGACTGAAATAATGATAACTGGACGATTACAAGTGTGACAGGCGCTCTGAAAGAGAACAGCCTGCCGGAGGTCTGACACATCGTGCATACCTTGCAGGCAACATCCATTTTCATGTGGTTGTTTCCAAACAGGGTTGGCAGAGGCAAGGGGGTGATCTGAGAGGTCCCAGCACTTTCGCAGCGATGTAAGAACCTGGTCACTTCCATCTGCAGCTGAAGTGTGTTCATGTGCCTACGGTGACAGGAGATGCACAGTCTAGCCTCAGGAGGGGCCTCAGGGGTAACAGGGCCAGGTGACTGAGAAATCATAATAGGATGGCAATGGAAAAGGCAGAAGAAAGGACGCGGAGGGAAAAGAGATCCAAAATACCCTCTGAGCAGTTACGACAAGACGAAAGCAGCTGATGAGTGTTTACGGAGCATGGCGTGCTACTAACAACAGCAGCGGCTGAGAGAGACGTGAACCCTGCCCTCCAGAGTTCAGAGGCTAGAGGAGAGGTGGGTAACAAGCAGACACATCGAGTATCTAGCGATTGGGACTGTGAAGGGATAAACGGTAGCGGTGGAGCATTTACTTCAGATGTTGTTTTCTCAGCAAAAAGGCTGAGAGGAGGGAAGGACCTGGGGTGCTGAGGAACCCCCGGAGGCCAGGGTGCCTGACACGCCACGAGAAAGGAGAGAGTAGCATGAGGTAAGATGGAGATGCAGGCGGGGGCCAGATCACCCAGGACCTCCTTTGCGTCTTGTAAGGGGTAGGGGCTTAGTCTGACTGTCACATGTGACCCCAGTCCCTGTGCCTCCCCTACTTTCCTCTTCTCCTACAAGCTCCTCTGGCGGCTTTCCAGGCTTGTACCGGACACTGTCATCCAGGAATGATTCCTGTTAGGTGTGTGCGTGTATGTGTATGTGTTTGTTTCCCAAGAGTTCAGAGATGGGCAAGAGTGGCTGCATCACCGACAGACCCTCGGTTCCAGCCTTTCTGCCCCACCCCAACTGCTCCCTGAACCCCAAGTTACCTTGACACATCAGCTGCCGTCATCTTCTTTCGGAAGAAGGTGGTTTTCTTCCTTCCAGTACGGCGGGAGGTTTCTTGGAGGTAGATCTTCAGGTGGTCCTTGGCCTTAAGCAGCCAAGAGAGCTTCTCTCCCAGCTCCGTATATGTCTTTGCTTTGTGACTGAAGAACCGAATACAGGTCATGGCGGCCCGGATGTGGTCCTGGAAGAGGAAAATGAATGTTTAGGTCAAAGGAGATTTGGAGGGTTGGGGGTGTGAGGAGAACTCTGATCTGATATTCCCCCGTGAAGCCTGGCTGCCAGCACCCTTTCTCTCAGAGGCCCAAGAGATCCCAAAGTGAACTGACTGGCTGGGACCTTAGGTAGGACGTTATTCCAGCACAAAAGAGATCTTTAAAAAGGAGACTTCTGATTCTCCATTTGACTTGCCTTCACTTTGACTCTGGCGTTGAATAAGCCAATTTCTCTGTGATCTAGCGTTGGCCACCCTCAGACAGATTGGAAGAAACATGATCCCTCTCCTTTCATGCATCTTCTGTAAAAACACTTACTTCTCCTTCACACCTTATGAATTCTGCATTCGTGCCCCATGTTTATCTTGAAACTACCGTATCCCTCTTTTTTATCTTTACATTCCCTGAATTCAGAAGAATGCTATTACTGACAAGATTAAAGTCTGCCTCTTTAGGATGAGAATGGAAATCCTGATATTACATAAGAATGCTAGAGAGTAACGTGGATTTGCGGTAGGCTTAGTCAAGGAGCAAAAGGCCAGGAACCAAAACGACAGTCTCGTTCCCTCATCCTGCACAGTCTCCCCACATGACAGGCCAACAGGGACAGAGGTAGAAGGCAGGATGGGGCTGCTGTTACCTTCATAAACTGCTGTAGCTCGTACAGAATGTGGTAGTAGTTCTTCTTCTGTAAATGTTGGCAGGCGGCAATCAAGTACTTTCCCCAGCTTTCCAAGGTTGGATCAATGGATTCTAGCAAGTTTTCTAAAACGTGTAGCTTCCCACTTTTATAGCTTGGCTGGAAGATGCCTTCTATGAAGATTTCTGGGGGACTCTCCTGGAGCAGGGCAAAGCAAAAAGTCAGAAGTCTTGAGCCTGGTTCTGGCACTGTCTGGGACCCATTCTGAGTTTCCTTCCACTCACAGCCCTTCAGCATCCTCCCACAGCGGTGCGTCTTATCTTTTTGCACATCACAGATGGAACCCTTTGAGAATCCCGCCCGGGTGACTGCTCCCCTTCTCTCCTTCTCCGTACAGAAAAGTTCCTTGAGTCATCTGCACTCCAGAGTTCCAGAGTTATCTGCACTCCCTGTTCCAGAGTTATCTGCACTCCCTGTCTCCAGTTCCTCTCCGGTGACTGTCTCCTGAACTCACTCACATCTAGCTTTTGCACCTACAACTCCATTGCAACTGCCCCTCAGGTCACCAATGACCTCTATGTTGTTAAATCTAAAATTCTTGGTCCTTGTTTTCCACCTGCTCTGTCAACAGCTTGTGATACAGCTGATGGCTTCCTCCTTGAAAAATTTTCTTTATTTGGCCCCCAGGTACCACCCCCACCAGGTTTTCTTTCTGCTTCTCTGGCTACGCCTTCTCAGTCTCCTTTGCTGATTCCTCCTAATCTCTCCAGGGCTTAGGAGGGAGCTGTTCTCTTTTCTTTGTTTTTGGCTGCGTTGGGTTTTTTGGCTGCGCGTGGGCTTTCTCTCTAGTTGCGGCGAGCGGGGTCTACCCTTCGACGGGTGCGTAGGCTTCTCATTGTGGTGGCTTCTCTTGTTGTGGAGCATGGGCTCTAGGCGCGCAGGCTTCAGTAGTTGCAGCACCCGGGCTCAGTACTGGTGCCTCACATGGGCTTAGTTGCTCTGTGGCATGTGGGATCTTCCCGGACCAGGGATTGAACCCATGTCCCCTGCATGGGCAGGTGGATTCTTAACTACTGTGCCACCAGAGAAGTCCCTGTCCTCTTTTCTTTACTCACTCTTTTGATTTCATAAGTCTTAGGGCTTTAAATTTATCTATCTGCTGATTATGTCTAAATCTCTATTCCCAGCCTGTTTATTCTTTCTGAACTCCAAAATTGTATACCTAACTTATACCCAACTGCCGACGCAAAAAGTCCTCTTTGGTATCTAGAGAACAATACATATTGATATAAAACTGCACTCCTGATTGTGTCTTCCCAATCTGCTCTTTCTGCAGTCTTCCCCTTCTCAGATGGCAATTTTGTTCTTCTATTTGTTCAGGCCAAAAACCTTAGCCATCTTTCTCTGACACCACAACATAAAAGTCATTAGCAAATTCTATTGGCTCCACCTCAAAATACATACAGAATCTGTATGTAGCTGACCACTTCTCACCACCTCCATGTGCCATCCTGGTCCAAGTCATCATCACCACTTGCCCGGATGATTGCAATGGCCTCCTCCCTGGTCTACCATCTTCCACTCCTGCCTCTTTTTTGACTAATGACAACCAGTCAACCTGAGTGATTCGGTTAAAACATAAGTCAGATCACGTTACGTCTCTGCTCAAAATCTTCCAATGGTTTTCCTTCTCACTCAGCACAAAGCCCAAGTCCTCATAATGTCTACAAGGCTCTATATGATCTAGGCTCTGTTAGCTTTCTGACCTTATCTGCTACCACCCTTTTCCCCAGCTTACTCTGCTCAAGCTGCCCTGGCCTTTGCCCTTGCTACTCCCTCCACCTGGACCGTGCTTCCTCCACAATCTGCACAATTCATTCCCCATCTACTTTAGGCCTTTACTCAGATGTCATCTGTCCTGGGCACCCTGTCTAAAATTACACCATCCGTCCCTTCCCTCTCCCCCACTTTACTCTTCTTATTACTTGTCACCTAAACTATATATCTTATTTATCTTGTTTATTGTCTCTCTCCCTACTATAATGTAAGTTTTATAGAGCAACTATTTTTGTCTGCCTTTTTTTTCTTCACTGTTGTGAAGAATAGTCCTTGGCTATTTAATAACTATTTCTTGGGTGAATGAATAAATGATAACTATCATTGACCAACTCATCAGGAAAGTGCAAACACATACTAGTCTGCTCACTTCTGAAGTTCATCTGTGGTTCAGAGACCATGAGTCATAAACCCCCATTCCACAGTCATAGAAAAGAAAACCATTTGGCCATTCAACCCCTTAAGAACTTCCATTTTGGGACCTCCCTGGTGGCACAGTGGTTTAGAATCCACCTGCCAATGCAGGGGACACGGGTTCAATCCCTGGTCCAGGAAGATCCCACATGCCGTGGAGTAACTAAGCCTGTACACCACAACTACTGAGCCTGCGCTCTAGAGCCCTCAAGCCACAACTACTGAAGACCTCATGCCTAGAGCCTATGCTCTGCAACAAGAGAAGCCATCGCAATGAGAAGCCCGCTCGCCGCAATGAAGAGTAGCCCCCGCTCGCCGCAACTAGAGAAAGCCTGCGTGCAGCAACGAAAGGAAGACCCAACACAGCCATAAAAAAAGAACTTCCATTTCATCCATTCATCTATCCACTCATTCATTCATAACTGGCACTAGGCCAGGTACTTGAAGACACCAGGTAAGGTAAATATGGGCCTTCTCGCTCCAGATGCGAAGACACGATTGTAAACAAATAGTTGCAATCCAGTGGGATAAATACAGTAACAGAGTTACGTTCTAGGTACAGTGACAGTTTATAGGAAGAGATGAATGCTCAATACAGAGGGTCTGGAAGGATAAACAGGAATTTTCCAAGAAAACAAGGAGGGGCAGGGCATTCTAGGTACGGGGAAACAGCAATAAAGACTCATGGAAGTAAGAAAGGGCATGGTACAATCAGGAAAATTTAAGTAATTTGGCAAGTCTGGAATATAGAGCATAGATAGGATTTGCAGTGAAAATAAACTGGTGAAATAAGGGGGCCTGATACTGTTGGGTCCTGCATTCATGCTAAGGAATTTGGACTGCATCTTGTGGCCATGGGGATCCACTGAAGGCCTTTTAGAGGGAGGAATAACATGAATTAAGAATAACATAAATAACATGTACTATGTTTTAGAAAGCTCACTCTGGGGCAGTGTGGTGGGTAAGGGGTGAAAAGGCAGGGAATGAGGCTGGAAACACCACGTCTTCCATGCTCTAGGCATTCAGTCATAGTTTTCACAATATTTTTTTCTGTTGTTCCCCACCTGCTTGAGAAGGTAAGATACTTCAGTTCAGGGTAGCTGTGATTACAGGAGATAAAAAGAAGCCTTCTTTCCTAGCTCTGACGAATGTAAAGCAGGGGCAATGCTGCCGTCAGCTTTTACCAAAATAAGTAAGTAAGCAGCTTAACCCTCTGGAGTGGTCATCAGTTAGAAGCAACAGAACCGGGTGAGGTGAAGTAGCTTTACCTCCAAACTCTTTTGGAAAGGAAACAGGTTTTAGCAATTAAATGCCAAATAATATAACTTTTACAATATTCTTGACACCCGGTTAAGACACGGTAGCTACGGCAGTAGCGAAAACACTTCCCTTTCGCTGTCCTGTAGGGGTATGGTTACCACGACTCTGTACTGTTGACCCACTTGGAGGAATCCTAGAAGATATGCCTATTTGTAAACTTTCAATGGCCGCCATTTTGGATAAAGGCAGCAGATTGGAATTAAAGCATAACTCAAGCTCCTTTAATTTTATATGAAATTTGGTACTAATCACTCAATTCCTCAGAAAAATTGCATGGGACTTTCAGATAAAAAAGAGAAGGCCAAAGAGTCATGGTGAAACAGAGTCCTAACAATGGCTCCAAAGAAATAATGCACTTCAGGGGTGCCTTTGCCCCCTGTGGGAGGAGGGCAGAGGATGTCAGAGGAAACAAAGGAGGGCACACTCTCCTTCTATGAGATACTTGTGGCCCCAAATTTAGGATGTGGCTCATGGGTGCTTCCTGGCCTTTGTGGTAAGAACCCTGAGTGGACGAGCAGTGGGGTCGGCAGCAGGACACAGCCCAGAGCAGGTGGGAAGTGTGTGGAAACAGAGAGATTAGGCAATTTGCTCAAGGTCACACCACTTACACCAAGCATCTCATTCCAGAGACCATGCTCTCAGCTATTACTTGGTTCTGCGAAATGTTCTGGGAGAAGGGGTGAAATTTGTCACTGCCCGTCAGAAGGGCAATCTGGGATCCAGGTTAAGACTTTCGCACACTCATCAAATCATGGTTTGTGCAGATAGACTCTGCCGTTTGTGTTTTGTTTTGTTTTGTCTTTTGGCTGCACCATGAGGCTTACAGGTTCCTAGTTCCCCGACCAGGGACTGAACCCGGGCCCTCGGCAGTGAAAGTGTGCTGTCCTAACCACTGGACCACCAGGGAATTCCCTAGAATTTGCCATTTGGACCTGACTTTGCCAGAGATGGTCTCATAGCTCAACCCTGGGGTAAGGTTAAGGGGGGTGATTGCCTCCATGAAAGCTGGATGGGCCAAGCCAAGCGGGCAAAGCAGGCACTGCCGTGTGAGAACCAGCCACGTCTGCACGTCCCACCTTGTGGAGGAGGTGCAGCAGGGCTTCCCGCAGGCAGCTGTGCCTCACGTAGAAGCTAATGATGGCCAGGCTGGTGCTGTAGTTATGCAGGTAGAAGAGGCATTCTTGGTAGTAGGTGTTGTTCATGATCTTCCCTTCAGGAATCACCTCCAGAGAGAGGCTCTGGGTCCGAAGGGTAGCTTCCAGCTCTTTCAAGGTGGCCAAGTAATCATCATCTTGCTGCCAAGAGAGGACAGAGTGTGAGGGAACAATGGAACTCAGGGAGTTCTCAGCAGCCGCTGGAAATACTGTTTTCAAAGAATATTTAACAATGTGGAAAAGTGCTCACTATTATACAGTTTTAAGGGTAGAAAACAGGCAGGATATAAACTTCTATATATTATAAACTGTACAACACCAATTAAATCAAAAACATAACCAAAAAAATTCACTAAAATCTAAATATTGCTTAAGTCTGGGTATGGGATTATATGTGATTTTCATTGTTTTAAAATTAGTTTTCTTTTTTTTTTTGAAATTTGACTCTTTATGACTTATCTAAGCATATATAATGGAAAGAACGAAATCCAAACCTGACAGCTCTGAGCCAGGGCTGCCACTGTCAGCTGAATGGAAGCTGATACTTTCCCCAGGCCATTACTGCCCCTGGGCCTCCCCCTGGCCCTGGAGCCCACCCTCTGCCTGCTGTGCTCTTACCACAGATAGAAGTGGCCTCGCTGTGGACTCCAGGTACTCAACCACATCCTGTACCAGTCTTGAGCCATGACTCAGCTGATTGAGGTCGAGAGGGGGCTTCAGACAGCGACTAAACTTCTCCCGTGCGGCGGTGAGGTTCCCAGCTTTGAGGCAGGCCATGCCCCAAGCGTGCCATGCCCCGGTGGTATCAAGGCCAGTCTTTGTGGAGACCTGGAGGAAAAACTGCTCCTTTTAGGGGGAGGCACCCACAGCCATGCCTGAGGGTCCCAAAGACCAACTCTATCCCCTTGGTGTCAATCATTTCCCTCCCCACCACCCCACCTGCCATTACTCCCACACTGGCAAACTTGTCATGCCTTAGACACTCCCCATGGCCAAGGACAACTAGAGGAGGTAACTCGTTGGGGTAGATGTCAGCTTTGTCTTTGCCTCACCTCAACGCCCAGTTGGTAGTACTCAGCTTCCAAAAGCTGGTTCCTTAGCCTGGTTACTGCGGCTGGTTGCAAGATCTGATCCAGAGATGGCACGTGGCGATAGGCAGCAGCAACTAAAATATTCAGCACATCTACCTTGCTGATGTAGCTACAGGGAGGAAAAGGGCAAGGCAGTGAGGCTCCACAGGGTCATCCCAAGAACGGGTGCTGCTTAAAGGTTTTCTATTTCATTTCCAATGTGAAAATGAGAATTGTGAGGTACATGGGAGAAAAGACTCTGGAGTCAGACTCTCGGAAACTCAACTCTATCACTTAGTGGCTCTATGACTTTGGGCAAGTTAGTTAACCTTTCTCAGCCTCAATTTCCTCATCTGTAAAATGGATAGAATAATGGGGAGTTTTAAGGATAAAATGAAATAACTGGAGGAAAAGAGCTTAGGATGGTGTCTAGAGCTTTGTAGGCACTCATCAAACGTTAGCTATCAATACGTGGAGTACAGATGCTCATGGACACTCAGGTCTCCTATTTTGAGGCAAGGCCTTTATACCGACGCTGGGAGCTCGCAAGCTACCCGTTTCTTTTTGGTTCTCTGGAACCCTGCTTGCTTGGGAGAGTGTATATGGACCGTATCAGCAGCCTGCACTCCTGGTCAGTACAGAGGTCACATCACTACCATCCTTTGGAGATGCTGCTGGGCAGGGCCCTCAGATTCGAGTGCCCTGGACCTGACATCCTTTCTCTGGGTTAAGGATGGATTCTTGTTACTAGGACTGCTGCCTTTGATCTTATTCCTGACATCTGGTGATTGCAAAAACCTTATAACAACAGAGCCCAGAGAGCTGTCTGGGATCATTCTGTTTAGTCCTGCCTGAGACAGGCCTACACTCAAGGTTCTTGAATCTTGTATCATAATTCTATCAAAACCCCCTGCGGATCCTGACTTGTCCACTGATTTCCCTGGAAAGGGATTCAGTACATCAGTGATTCTCAACCTAGTGGGGATGGGCAGGGGAGAGCATAGTGTGTAAAAGCAAATTCGGTATCATAATGTATTGGACGTGTGTAATAGGTGGTGTGAGTTTTGTTTTTAAACATTTATTTATTTGTCTACAGAAGAAGGTATGAGTTAAAAACAGCGGAAAAATACTCTGCAAACCAGGAGTTCTAAACACACATGAGAGACGAATCTACTATCATCAGCAACTGGGCACAAGTGCAGTGATTCCCTAGAGTGAGTGTACCGATTCCAGGGCTGGGAAGAAAGGATGTGTAATTTGAAACCACTGCTATTAAGTGTCAGAGAAGCCCATGGCACCTGGGGATGGGTGAGAATGCCACTGAAGCAAGGACTTCCTTAATTTCTGCTCCCTTAACCCAAAGTGGATATTTCCTCCATCTACATTAGATTTTGAAGGAAGTATAGGACTTGCTGTTAGATTTGTTCTCCAGCCCCCATCTAAGTATCCTTTTCTGTTAATAAGATTTTATCTCATTTATGTTTCTGATAGTTGAGAAATATTTAGATATATCTTTATTTTTGCCTTAAATTCTACCTTTTGCTATATAAAATGGTTTCTGTTCTTTCCTTCCCTTCTCCATTTCTGATAAATTGGTAGAGTTTTGGTTCTTTTCATGGTTATTTAAAAAATTGTATTTAACATATTATACAGCTCATTTTTCATTTGTCAACTTGAAAAATGATGTAGAATCTTTTGCCTCTTGATATGAGTGAAATTAACTCCTTTATATTTCCTTCCACTTTCTGTCCCACCTCCTTCTGCCTTTCTCAACCTTCTGGTTTTTGTTAGTAAGAATAATAAAACTAACATTTTTGGAGTACACAGGCTCAGTTCTTAGCCCTTTATATGGATACAGTACTCTCACTTTACAGCCATAGGAAATAAATATTATTATCATCCCCATTTTCTAGAGGAGGAAACCGAGGCCCAGAGTGGTTAACAGACTCATCTAAGGTTACAGAGCTAGGAAGCGGTGAAGTTGAGAGTCACTGCACTCTCTGTTATCTGGTGAGTTTGCAGGCCAGTACTCTGGGCAAGTGCCTGAGGCACTGACACGTCAAAGAAAATTATGCTCTTTGCTCTCAAATCTGGCTAGGACTGAGAGCTGGGAATGCACGTGAGTCACACATCTGGGTGGATAAGCCAGAAACTGGGAGTTTTCATTGTCAGGTTAATGAATGAAGGCAGAGCAGGCTGCGTAGGGAGCTGGGGCCTAATCCTCACTTTTCCATAGAAACTTCTACTTTATGACTCACATTCCTCCCTGGGACTTAGGGACAGACCAGTCCGCAGTGCGCTTTATAGATCTGTTACCCAGAACTCCCTGAGGCCACAGTCTGAATTTGGTCAAGGCTAGGGTAGAGGACACATCTCCTTTAAAAGGCAGAAAGTTCCACAGAGACTAAAGGTGCTCTCCAAAATTGATGTGCATTACAAATTAACCCAAGTCTTTCTTTCCAACTGGAAAAGAAAGACTCTATAGCTAGAGAACCTGCCTTGAGGATCCACTCAGGGAAAGAGAAGCACACAGGCTGTCAGCGTAGGGTGAGGAAGACTGCTTGTGTAACAGCATTTCATCAACGTCAAATGGAGACGCAAAACAGTTCAGCATGTCTTGTCAGAGGACTGGGAGGTGAAAACCCACAGTAGGGTCAGAAAAAGAAGCTGGACAGACATGACCACCGTGTAAAAGAAGAGAGACTCATTTCCACTTACCTGTCACAAAGAGCTAGGTCCTGGCTCCGGCCTGCCTTGACAAACATCATCTTGGCGCTGAAGAGCAGCTGCTTCATGATGTCTGTGAGCAGCCCCGCATCTACCTCCGGGTTGGTGAGCCCCTGGGACAGCCTGCAGCAGTGCTCAATCAGCTGGTGGCCGCAGGCAACGCTGTCCTGGTGCAGATTCAGGATGGCGATACACAAGGAGGCGCTGGGGGCCTGGCCCAGGTGGACGAGGAGAGAAGCACACTGTGAGTTCCCAGACCAAAGCAGTCTTCAAATGTAGCTGGGAGGGGGGAATTATTCTTCCCGTTTCACAAAGCTTGAAAAACCCTGGAGGAAGGAGCCAAAAATCCCACGGCACAGCAGAAGTAGAGCTAAACATACTTCAGAAGTTCTAAGTAGCACTGGCAAAGCTCTGGCTGCTAGGTTTTTGTCTCCTTACTGGGAGGAAGGCAGCTGTGTCCACGTGTTACCTACTTCCTGGGAATGCCTGTAGGTGCCCTTCTTTCTTAGTCTACTGTCCCACCAGCACAGGTGCTCCTAATGCTGGCTTGGACGATAGTCACCTTGCTTGTCTGGATACCTGCAGAAGTCTTTGTTTCAAGCCACTGCAAACAGTGCTGCTAAATGAATATTCCTAAAGCACACTCGGAAACCTTCCATGGCCCTGATGCCTACCAGGTACATATATCTTACTGCAGAGTACAAGGCCCTACACATAAATAGCCTGTTTCAACCCTACCTTTCCTACCTCTCTATTAACACCCTATGTTCTCTCCAAATTAAACCACTTCTAATTCCCCAATCATTTTTGATACTGTGCCTTCGCTTGGATGTTAGAGTTTGGAACTCTTTGCCCTTCTCCTATCCTCACTCCACTCAGGACACCCAAACTTCTGCTTGTCAAACTCCTACCGCACTTCCAAGGCTCCTCTTAAATGCTACCTCTTCCACGAAGGCTTTCCTGATTTCCTCTTGTGTATTTCTCAAGCTGTTCCTCATTTTCTGCTTTAAGTGGTTTACTTGTCTTAGCTCCCATGATATTACACTGTGAGCAAGTGAAGGCCTGCTTGTGTCTGCCCAACTCTGCATTTCCTGCCATGCTACTACACATCCTAAGGAAACTCAAATGACCGTCACATTTTATTGCTATTACCTGCTCATAGTAAAATTCACTCCGCACCAGCTCATTTTCCTCCTCATTCAGATCCAAAATCCATTCCACCTCAGCTGCTTTGGGGACTCTCACCACAGCTGAGTATGGAGGGCTTTCGCTCTTGGGGCTGTCTGGTGCTGAGAAGACAAATGCCGTTCATGTGTCATTCACTGGCCAGTAGTCCACTCTAGCCCAGCCCAGGGAGCCACGAGCTGCAGGCAGATCCCTGCCTGATATCTTAGGGCCCTTTCTCTCCTTTTGGTCTTTTTTATTTCCTTTAGGAGACCACCTTGGGTACCTCAAACTTTCTTCCCCAGGCACAGACCTGGAATGAGTGTTACAATGTTTGTCACACAAACTTGCTGCTTCACACGAGAAACTCTGAATGCTGCATGCTTCCCAAATGGAGGGATGAACCATTGGCTACTCTAAAAACTAACCTGCCCAAATTATTAATAGTGATTACCGAGGGGAAGGAGGGAGCATTAGAAGGCAGGATGGTGGTGAAGGGAAACCTAGTGGGGGAAGGAAGAGAAATAAGCTACTAAAAGTTAAGGACCAAATTCTTTGGCTGCTGGCCTCCTCGATGCTGGAAGCTAATGGGCCAGTGTGATAGGTTACTATGATGACAAACCTTAAGGGAAATAGCCTGACAGAAATGCCAAGAATTTTCTTTGGTCAACCTGTTGGACTGAGTTGTCATTGAGGGTGTCAGTTGCAGCAGATATGCTGAAGGACGAGCCAACTTGAGCACAGAGACAAAAAGTCACAGGGAGGGAATTCCCTGGTGGTCCAGTGGTTAGGACTCCACGCTTTCACTGCCGAGGGCGTGGGTTCAATCCCTGGTCGGGGAACTAAGATCCCACAAGCTGGGTCGTGTGGCCAAAAAAAAAAAAAAAAAAAAAAAAAAAAAGTCACAGGGAATATGATTCAGCCTTACCTCCTGGTTGTCCTGGATTCTCCTCTGGCGCACTGGAAACAGAGAAAGAAAAAGTGAAATGCTTGAATCCCTCCTCCTGCTCTTTGTTTTGAGCTTAGTGTATAGCACTGACATTTACTGTTACTCGAATGAGATTATCAGGGAATCATCCAAAACTCTTTTCTCTCCCTCACCTGTCACAATCAACCACTTACCATTTCTTGCCCGTTCCATTTAAAATACCTGTTTAAATGTCCCCATCTCTCTCCTCATCCCTGCCTCAGAGAGGGCCCTCATCATTTAATGCTAGAGGCTTTGCAGTAGCTTCCCAATTGGTCTCCTTGATTCTACCAAGCTATTCTCTACTTTGCAGGTACAGTGAGCTTTCAAAAATGCAAATCTGGGGACTTCCCTGGTGGCACAGTGGTTGGGAGTCCGCCTGCCAATGCAGGGGACACGGGTTCGGGCCCTGCTCCGGGAAGATCCCACGTGCCACGGAGCGGCTAGGCCCGTGTGCCACAGCTGCTGAGCTTGTGCTCTAGAGCCCACAAGCCACGGCTGCTGAGGCCCGTGTGCCTAGAGCCTGTGCTCTGCAGCAAGAGAAGCCCACAACAAAGAGTGGCCCCCGCTTGCCACAGCTAGAGAAAGCCCGCGCGCGGCGACGGAGACCCAACGCAGCCATAAATAAATAAATAAATTTATTAAAAAAAAAAAAAAAAATGCAAATCTGGGGCTTCCCTGGTGGCGCAGTGGTTGAGAGTCTGCCTGCCGATGCAGGGGACACGGGTTCGTGCCCCGGTCCGGGAAGATTCCACGTGCCTCGGAGTGGCTGGGCCCGTGAGCCATGGCCACTGAGCCTGCGCGTCCGCAGCCTGTGCTCCGCAACGGGAGAGGCCACAACAGTGAAAGGTCCGCGTACCACAAAAAAAAAATTAAAAAAAAAATGCAAATCTGGTCATATTATGCTTCTGCTTAAAATTCTTTTATCAAATTCTTTGATAGCTCCTCAGGGTAAAATATTCCACATTTGCAGTTTAGCAGACAAAGCTCCTTATGGCTTCGCTGCCTCTTGAGACCATCTCCTACCACCCATGACCTCTGCTCAACCCATAAGAGTCCTCCCCACACTGCTACGGGCTCTGATCAAGTTCAGTTGGTGCCATCAACCACTAAATCCCAATGTCACAAGCCAGAGCCCAGGTCTAGCATCTGCACGAGGAGCCTTCTGGTCAACCCTGGCCCATGCTTCAAAGAGCAAGCTCTAAGCCTCTCTGCCATTCCCTAGGTCCTCCCAGCTCAGCTGCCAGCCTCTGAGTCCAGAACCTTAGCCCATCACCCACCTATTTACACTTCCTCAAAGGACCCACATTTTCTCCTGCCCCTACCTTGGCAGTTGTTACTCCCACTTTTGGGCATGCTCTGTTTTGGCTTCTTTTCCTACCAACTTCTCATCCTCTAAGTCTCAGACCAAGTGCCACACCTCTAGAAAACCCTCCTGATCACTGGGCTAAGCTGGGTGTGTCTCCACACTGCACTTACCCAAGGGCTCTGTGGTCTGTGTTTTGGCTGTCTCCCCACTAAAATGGGGGCTCCTCGAGGGCAAAGTGATTATTGCTCAGTGATTGCTGAATGAAAGAATCCTCACTGATACCAACTGCTCATTTCAAATCTCAGCAGTATGATAAATGGGTAATTTCCCTGTCCCCCACCCAGAGGGAGGCAGTGGTATGCCAGGGTCACAGAAACTGTGGTATGAACACGGCATGTCTTCCTTCCTATCAGGTCAGTAATCACCATGGTAAATAATGTTAAAAGAATGTTCCTAGTAAAAGAAACACAAAAATGCTGTTGAGCTACTGGGCAGAATGTAAAATCCCTTTAAGTCTGTTAGTAAAACATGAAGAACTCAGTGATTCTGCTCTTGGAGAGCTGCTTTGGCTCCTATTCCCACATGCTCTAGGAGTCTTAGTTTCACCCTCCTCTGCTGCTAGAAGAAGTAGAAAAAACTGAGCAATACTGGGCCGGCAAACACAGTCTTGACCTGTCTTGCCAGAGGCACGAGCAGTTTCTGAGGCTTGTTCCCAGCTGAACTGTGCACAGGAAAGTGTGTGGGCTCTTCTAGTTGTGGATAACAAGCCAGAATGATGAGCTCAGTGAGAGCTGATGCAAGTGAGGCCCCAACATTCAGTGTCTTTTGGAGTCCAGCTGAGACCAACTGAAGCGAGAGTGGCTGGAAAAGAGGTGAGGTTGTTGGCAAACTAAGATCCACGGCCTCAGTTAGGGGACAGGCCCATGGCCTCAGTTAGAGGACAGGCCGAAGAACTAAGTGTCCTGATCCCAGAGAGAACATCATGTAAGAGCTCTGATCTCTGCTTCTACTCATCCCTACTTCCTCTCTTAGAAGTCTCTCTGAGCAGGGTCAAACATTACACTGTAGAGTGAATGGCATTTCAGTGTGAATGTGAAATGAAAACTTTCTGTAATTGCTCAGATTGGAGACGCTTTCCATAACGAGACCCCAGGAGTGTCAGGACCTGGGGGAGGGTGCAGTGGTCAATAGCAGCAGCGGCCCCGCTGCAGGACACTCACTCTTTGTTGAAGTAACTATAGCACTGGTCACACACGCGAGTAGGGTTCTCTCTGCAGCCTTCCACCACCGTTTTCTTAGTGGAGCAGGAACTGCACACTAGCCGACCACAGCGGCGACAGTGATGACGCCTGTTAAACTGAGGAGTGTCATCAGGAAGAGAAGGAGGAGGGAGGAAGAGAAGGTGAGATTGCAGGACCTGTGAGCACCCGGCAATCCATTTATCCTTGGAATTAGCCACCTGTGACTTACTAAGAATACCATGTGCTTGGGCCTCTACTGAGAAAAGAACACACTAGTCCTTGCCTTCAAGAAGCTGACATTTAAAGATCTCTCTCATCTGATGGGCAAAGATGTCCAAGTCATGGACAGTTTTTCAATAGCTCCTGACAAGTCTTATCTGTCTGTGGAGGAAACATGTGAAGACACCGCAAAAAGCAGTGGGGAAGAAGTGACTTTCTCAGCCAATGAGGATCACATGTCTACATGGTATTGATGATGATGAAACAGTGTTCTGTTTTCAAGATGCTTTTACAAATACTGCCTTATTTCATAAGAGGTTGACAGATATATTACACCGCTTTTATACACGAGGAGGAAACAGACACAGAGAAATTGCATCGTCATCCTATTCATCAGCTGAGCTGTTGTGCCAGTCAGGTACTGTGTTCAGGGTGGTAACATTTGTTACTGTAGTTAGTGTTTATAGCTCCATGAACCAAATAACCTAGCATCCCTAGTTTACAAGTGAGCATCTGAGACTGAGAAAGTTAATAGTCACATTGCTAGTAAGAGGCAGTGCTGGTATTAGAACTGAGGTCATCTGGCGCCAGCACATAAAACCATTACCAGGTCACCCGTCTTTTTGCAAAAGACACAGGAGCTAGAAACGAGATGCCCCAACATTTGGTGACTCCTCCCATGCAATACCACTCTGGCTCTTTTTATTTATTTCATGAGAATGGCAGAGATTTTAGAATTTAAGGCTCCTTGAGGGTGTCTACCATCTGTCTAAATTCAGAAAATATATTCTGGTCAGGTCAAAGGTAAACCCAGAGCCGTAGATCTGGTAGTCAGTTCTTCTGAACATACCCATATCCTCTTGGGGACAGGAGGTGACTATAAACTCAAGCTCAGGAAGTAGAGCTTTCCTTTAATTTCTCCTGCAGGTAAAGCCGGAGACGGATGCTGCTTACCATGGTGAAGCGCTCCCTGCAGCAGACCATGCAGGTGCTCTCACTCTCATCCGGTACCCACTGGTGCCTGGCAGGGGGCGTTGCTGGGGGCACAAACTCCAGTGGCGGCTGACTCTGTGGGAAGCTCCTCTCCCTCGGACTGGGGGAATGCACAATGGAGACACCTGGGAGTCAAAGCCAGAAGTCAGAGTAAAAGGTGATCAGTAGTCCAGCTAATAAACAAAGAAGGGATGAGAGAGTTAGAACTGTACCACTTTACAAACCCCTACTGATAGCATAGATCCAGTTATTGATCATCGATGGCTGACTGCAAAAAGAGCATTGTGCGTCTCCTGATGGAAGGCACACGGCCACCTATCAAATGTACTAACCAAAAAACATGAAGCCTGAATCAAATCAAGCTTCTAGATCTATCTACCAGTGTACTGGAAAACACAGGGGACGGAGACCCAGACTGCCATGGGGTGACAATCAGCAAAATGCAGTGTGTGGGAAGCTCTAAAGGACAAATGACCTAGTTTCCTCCACAACTAAAAAGAGGTGGGGGACCTACTGATTAGAACAGACTTAAGAGAGCGTTTAGTCGGATGCCATGTGTGGACATTATTTACATCTTGATTCTAGAAAGACCAATTCTAAAAAGAATCTTCATGAGACAACTGGGGAAATCTGACGAGTGACTGGATAGTTGATAATAATAAGGAATCATTAATTTGGTTTTAGGTATGGGAATGATGTTATGGTTTTGTTTTATAAATGTCCTTACCTTTTAGAGATATACCCGGTTTTATTTATAAACAGAATGGTATGATATCTAGGATTTGTTTCAAAATAATCCAGTAGAGGGACAGGGGTAAAGATGAAACAAGAATGGTCATACTGACATGATAAATATTGCAGCTGGGTAATAGGTATGTGACACTTCATTACACTGGTCTCTCTACTTTCGTGTACGGGAAACTTTCTGTAATAAAGAGTTAAAAAAATTAAGTAACCAAAGCTGCTCAGGCTGCCTCATGCAGATTTGTGAAGCTGCTCACATGCCTGTACGTCTGAGCCCTTCTGTCAGGTCTGCTGATTCCTGTGAAGCATGGCTAATTCTCAAAGCATGGCCGCGAAATGCCACGGTCTTTGTTTTATGATATCTAAGGAGATTTCTTGTCAACTAGCAGAACGATGTTGGCAGGTCACAGAAAAAGAGAACTGGAAAACACAGTGACTCTTAGCAGCACCCAGAAGAAGACGGGCTGTCGACCTCTCCCCAGAAGTCTGCTCTCCTGTTGGCGAAACAAACACTTGCTGAGCTGCTTCTGCGTGTAGGCCATTGGGCAAGTCAGGAGACTGTGGGAGAAGAGGGGTGGTGAAAAGGGGTGACCAAGACATGGCAGAGGCCTTCAAGGACCTTGCACCCTGTGTGGGTGACAGATATAAATAACTACCTGCAGGACAGGGTCAGAATGAACATAAGGACTAAATAAGTCGATTCTCCTTATTAGTAGATTCCGTATTTGTGAAGTTGCCTACTCGCTAAAACTTGTTTGTAACCTCAAAATCAATATTTGCATTGCTTTTGCAGACATGCACAGAGTGGTGAATAATTTGAGTTGCCTGGTATACAGCTTCTCATCTGGGGTTGAACAAGGTAATGTCTCCCTTTCTTATCTCAGCTCTCATACAGAGATGACCAGAGGATGCAGATGGTAGGGGACAGTGCAGCAGGGTAGTGTAAGAAGCTCCACTCTGGGGCTAGTTGGACAGGGTCTGAATCCCAAAGGCCCATTAGGCACTCATTAATGGGGTGGCTTCAGGCAGGTCACTTTAACACTCTGAACCGCTTTTTCTCTTTTGTAAAATAAAGAAAATAGAATTTACTGGGATGAATTGTTTCCAATTTGAGATTATAATGTATGTGAAATGTGTGTGTGTGTGTGTGTGTGTGTGCGCGCGCATGTCCACACATGTAATCACACACACACGTGGGTGTATTTTCCCTAGGAGCAGTGGTTTAGTATTTGCTAATTCAGTGTTTGTGGCGCCTTCATAGATATACCACTGCAAATAATAAGAATCGATTGTATGTTGAATTTTCTGGGATACAAAAAGCTGGAAAGAATCAAGAAAAACAATTAATAAGAATGTTGTGACTGGAAATGAAAAAAGAAGCAAAAGAATCAGAAAATCAGAGTAAGGCAAGATTGAACTGAAAAATGGGTAACTCTCAGAACCTGTCCTTACCAGGAGCAGCAACAGAAGAGAACTCCACTGACGGTGACCTAGACAAGGTCTCGAGGTCTGAAGCCGGACTGACAATTTCCTGGAGGTAAATCACAGGATCTGTAGGGGGGGAAAATGTTGACAGATTGTTCTATCATAAACATCCTTACTTGCTGTGCTAGGCATTTAGTTCAAAGCCCTGTTGGTTTCGCTGTCATCCCATGACTCTACTAGGTATGCAAAGAATGGCAGAGGTACTTCTAAGACGACAGAAAGCACGCTTTTTAAATGCCTCAATAAACAAACTGTGTTAGGCACGTGAGATAAATGGAGTAGACACTAGGATTTTACAAAATAAATCTAAAGATGCCCAGGGGGAAGTAGAAGACATTTAAATGGTGGTCCTGGAGGGTAGGGAGTAAGAAAAAAAAAAGCTGGCTGGGAACATCAGCCCCCATTTATTTCATTTTCTTCATTCTAGAAGAGGCTGAGTCAGTTCCCACACTAGTGGCATCTGATGTGATCCTGGGAATAGTGCACACCCTCAGTACAAAACGATGGCACTTAGAGCCCAGTGCACCAAGGCCAGACAGAGACCACCCCCAGCATGTTTTTTTGTTTTTATTTATTTTTGGCTGCTTTGGGTCTTTGTTGCTGCATGCGGGCTTTCTCTAGTTGGGGCGAGTGGGGGCTACTCTTCGTTGCAGTGCGCAGGCTTCTCATTGTGGTGGCTTCTCTTGTTGTGGAGCACGGGCTCTAGGCACGTGGGCTTCAGTAGTTGTGGCTTGCGGGCTCTAGAACGCAGGCTCAGTAGTTGTGGTGCACGGCTTAGATACTCTGCAGCACGTGGGATCTTCCCAGACCAGGGATTAAACCCATATCCCCTGCATTGGCATGCGGATTCTTAACCACTGCGTCACCAGGGAAGTACCCCCCAGCATGTTTTTTTCCCCCGAAGCTTTATATTATTATGCATGTGGTGGTTATCTACCATCCTTTCATTCCGGTTAGCCTGCCACTTCCTCCAAGACTGAGATCTCTCCTATATAAAAGAGCTATCTCTCCTGAAGTGTATCCTTTCACTCTCAATCAACTCAAAATTATAAAAGAGGAAAAATGAAACTAAGGATGTAGCATGGTATTTCCTTCTCCATGTAGAACCCCCATCGAGGATGCTGGCGGTTACCTGAGCGTTTCTCCCGCAGAGGGTACAGAAAGTCCAGGGCTTTTCCTGCGTATCTGGAAAGCAGCGAGTCCACCTCGTCCATGGTGAAGCCAATCTCCTGGCCAGCCAGCAGCTGATGCAGAGTCTGCACAGCCATGGTGGCCCAATCCACTTTCATGTTCATGAGCAGCTGCTCCAGCATGAGCAGGGGGTTAGAGGACAAGTGGGAGTAGCTGGCCCGGTACTGCTCGGGCAGGGTTAGCAGGACCTGGGTGTGGGGCAGAGCCACAGAGTGAAGAAAACAGGACACGAATTTCAGAAGAAAGCCAAGATTCTTACTGGGAAGGGGGAAGGGTATCTGGGACCAAAGGGCACTTGGCCAGCTACTGAAACTGGCTAGGAGTCTCTTAGGCAGCAAGGCTGGCAAACTTTTCCTGTAAAGGTTTAGATAGTAAATATTTTAGGCTCCATAGGCCATAAGGTCTTTGTGGCAACTACTGATTTATAAAACCTGATAAAACCTGATTTATAAAAGCAGACAGAGGACTGGATTTGGCCCACAGGTGGTGGTCTCCTGACCCCTGGCCTAGACCAACCAGGCATGGTTGACCCCTGCCTGATCCTTAAAGCCACCATTCTGTCCATTTGAGGCTTTACTAGAATAAGCAATATAAGGTGGACTGAACCTGGCACCTCCAGTGTTCTACAGGTGAATGATGACTCTAAATTCCTCCTAGAGGCTGTTATTCCTGGGCTTGAAATACATTCACTGGCTCTTCTCACTGCCAATTTTCAAAGATTCCATTTAGGTACAGTATATAAAAAAAAAAAAAAAAAAGAAAAAAAAAAAAAAGGTGTATCCTCTTTAGAATCATTTTACATAGTTGAACTCTTAGCAAGTAGGCTCGTGGTCATATTTGTGGCTCTCCCAGCACTCATTCTATTCATGGGGCAAGTTCTACACTCAGGGGGCCAGTATATATGACTTCCAATCAGAATCATTATTAGAGAGTTAGAAGGCCTTATCTCTCCCCAAACTCTCCTTCACTGGATTACTTTTTCTAGCTTATAATTTCTTCTATTAGTGTCTCCAAGGTTACACATCAAAGGTAAAGGCTTATCTCATTGCCTAGACAATTAACCCTTTTCCTTTAGCACAAAGTAGTTTTAAGGATTTAAAGCAGTAGTTTTAAATCCTTGCATCAGAATCCTTCTGGAAGATAGGCAGGCCCTGTCCCAAGGGGTTCGGTTTTAATTACTCTAGGGTGGAGATTAACTACTGCTATTTTTAGAAAGTCCAGGTGATTCTAATTCATGGTCCGAATTGAGAAGGCTTGGTATAGCAGATGCCAAGGAAAGCATAAAGAGAATTTAAGAGGACAGTAAAATTCACTTTGGAGGCAGAGCAGTAAGAGAACGGTAAGTCCTAAGGGATGTGGTGGGCTGTTAGGGTCAAGATTTTATATACCACAGGTCAAGGATGGCAGGTGCCTGGAAGGGCAAGTTCTGAAGTGGGAGATGGGCCAGCAGTCCCTCCCTCAGGCATGCTTTCCCAACAGCCCCTTCTCCTCCTGACCTTGGATCCCATGTACAGTGCTTGGATTTCACGGCGTCGGTCAGCGGTCAGTTCTCCATAGAAGTGGGTGGTGAGGTAGTTGGCCAAGAAGTGAGAAGTGGCCAAGCTAGAGTGCTGGTCGAGGGACTGCTCTGTGACCTCAAGGCACATGGTGAGGTCAGGAATTCTTCGCAGGAGCTGTTGCAGGAGGAAGGTAGAGGAGAAAGGTGAGACCTGTAGAAGAACTCTTAGGACAGCCTTGTTTTGTTTGAGAACAGAACCTTCAGGTTTAGTCACTGTGGATTAACCCCTTCTCTGCACTCATTTTTTCACCACCCCCAAAGCTTCACAAATGATGGCTTTGACAGGACCAGAGATCAGCAGAGTCTTGGACCCAGCTGCCCGTCTGGCACCTAATGCAGGGCTAGGCACCTCTAGGGAAGGTGACTATAACCAGCTCCTGAAGGACACGGAGGGGCAGATCTGAGACTGCGAATGCTGTGCATGGGATCCAGCAGGAACAGAGCCACCTGATTTGACTAACCTTCTCATCCCCTACCAAAAGAAAACTGGGAAGAGTTGGAGGCTTACCTGCAGAGCCTTTTCATGATCGCCTCTTTCTAGAAGGTGGAGAAGATGCTTTTGATGTAGGTTGATTAAATGTTCTCTTGGAATGGGGTATAGGCAGCCCCACTCCTCACACAGCTCATACTCCTGGAAGGAAACACACATGCCTTCAATCCCTTTAAATTCCTGGCCTTGTCACTCATCCAGCTCTTGCCTGATTTTTCTCAGGAGTCTTGAGTCTGCTAAAGCCCCAGGAAAGTTTGGGAAGCGCTGATGGGAACTTCACTGTGGGACTAAAGTGGGATCATAAAGGACTAGAGTGGCAAGGTAAGTTATGAAAATGATCCAAGTAGGCTGACTGTTCAGGATGTCCTTTTTCTTTTAGCTCTACTATAATAAAGAAACAGATGACATATAGCTACTGACACTCGGTGTCAGCCCTGGGAAGATACTAAGGAAGTGGGGAAGACCGAAAAGACTGTCCAAAGGAGACAGTGCCTGCTCAGCTCTGACTGTTGCCATATGAATGTGCAGGCCCAGTGGTGCCAGACTTTTAAAAATGCCAAAAAAACTTTTTTAATTAAAAAAATTCCCTATTTTACAAGGTTGGCAACGAAATCAATACGAAAACTAAAAATTCTGCAGAGCAATACTACATGGGCCAAACAAACATGTTGGGGTTGGATTCCATTGATATCACCCCTTGTTACTCCCCCTTCCAACACCAAATTTGTGAACTCTGGATTAAAGCTTCCCAGAGCTTTGTCCATGTGTTCTAATATGATGGCATCTGGAAGGCCCTCCCCACAACTCTGCCTGGGGCCACCTTCTTCAGGATGCTTCCTTGTTTCTTGGGCTGTCTTAGGCACCTGGCTGTGCCCCACCTTAGTCTGGGATTACTTCGGTCACTTGGTATATCACAATCGCCCAGGGATGTGTCTCGCATCGCCCCGCCCTGCTCCCTCCTTTCCCAAAATGTGAGCTGCACAAGGGCAAGGACTAAGCTTAATTATCTTTGTTTCAACACCATCTAGCGCAGTGGTAAATAACAGACAGTAAAGGTTTCCCGGATGAATGAACATCTGAATAAATACACCTCATTTTGAACTATGGTATATCAGCTCCCTAAAGGGTAAAAAAAAGTCTCCTTGGCACTCAAATGTCCAATACACACATGAAAAGATAATCAAGGTCATTAGTAATCATGGAAATGTAAATTAACACCATAATGACATACCATCTTATTGGCAAAAAAGTGAAAAGCTGGACAATGCCAAAGTTGCTAAGAAGACGGAACAACAGGAACTGTGAGTGGGAGAATAACAGGGACAGGACGACGGATCTGAAGAGCAACGTTGTAACATCTTAGAAAAGGTGAGGATGCTCGTGCCTCATGCTCCAGCCATTCCAGTGCTAGGTACACATTCTGTACCTAGTGTAAACAGTGTAGGAAATCTTGTGAATGAAAACAAGGGTGATAGTACAAAAGTGTCAACTCTATTATCCTCTATTCTTCTAGGTATGTTGGTAAATTTCACACACACAAAAGAGAAAAAAAAAAGTGTTGTGTAGTTATAGAAAAAAATGTGAACCTTGATACGTGGAAAGAGGTCTACATAACCAGCTAAGGAACAGCAACTCTGGAAAGAGGAGGAAGGGGAATAGTACCCAGGAAAATGGTACCTTGGCTTCTAGAATCACATTCATGACAGTTGATGGGTCCTCGACACAACAGTTCCTCAGGGTCTGCCAGTCACACCACACGGGGGTAGCCTGCAAACCTAGAATCTAAGGAAAGACAGAAAAAGCTATCAAACCACACTGCAATTACTCTGCTCAGGAATAAGTCATTGGAGTTTCCAGGGATGGGCCATCCCCAGGTGTCTGTCCCAAAGTCAGGCTGTCAGAACTTGCCAGGACAGAGGAGGGATTAGAACGAATGGGACAAAGAGTGTTTGGAGAGGTGAGAGAACCTATCCAGCAAGTATAATCAGGGAGCAAAGGCTGAGTGGGGGTGCCAGGATCGGGGCCTTTCACTTGGAGGACAATCCTCAGAGGCTTCTGTGCTTTGCAGCTTGTTCGGTCTTCTGGAGTCACTTGTCCCCTGCCCCTCCAGCTCAGAACTCTAGAGAGGTTATTCTTCTGTCCTGAATGCTCTGTGGGATCACCTTTCATGCAGCATTTTAGTTCTGCATGAAAAGTGCTATGGAAGAGTGGAAAGAAAATCTTTTTCACCTGCCACTTTCACTTTCCCTGGTTGGGCTCTGGGCTCTGTTCAGTTCCAAGCACACATGGAAAAATTAGCATATATGTATACTTGTTAGGTAGCTGTACCATCGAAATCTGTCTTCCTGAGCCTCTTGATCTTGAATATGACATATATATCCAAAAATTTTTCACTGTGAAACTGTCACTCTCATGCATCCCTTTCAAAATGGCTCTTGAAATTTAGCTGAAGTTTAAAACAATCTTTAAAAAAGACATAGGAGATTAAATTCTATAAAAACTCTTGAACAACAAGACACAATATACATAAAACATACAGCGAGCTCACATATACAAGGATACCTTGGGGATACTGTGGGTTCAGTTCCAGACCACCACAATAAAGTGAATATTATAATAAAGTGAGTCACACGAATTTTTTTGTTTCCCAGTGCAAATAAAGTTATGTTTACATTATACTGTAGTCTATAAATTGTGCAATAGCATTGCCTACAAAAAATGTACATGCCTTAATTAAATATTTTATTGCTAAAAAATTAGTTTTAGCAATTAATTTGAGCATTCATCTAGTTATAATGTTTTTGCAATAGCAACATCAGAGTTCACTGATCACAGGGACTTCCCCGGTGGTCCAGTGGTAAAGAATCCGCCTTCCAATGCAGGGGACGTGGGTTTGATCCCTGGTCAGGGAACTAAGATTCCACGTGCTGCGGGGCAACTAAGCCTGCATGCCACAACTACTCAGCTCGTGCGCCTCAACTAGAGCCCACGAGCCACAAACTACAGAGCCCACGCCCTCTGGAGCCTGCGTGCCACAACTAGAGAAGAAAAAACCCTGCACGCCACCACTAGAGAGAAGCCCCTGCACCACAATGAAGAGCCTGCACGCTGCAACAAAAGATCCCGCGTGCCGCAACTAAGACCTAACGCAGCCAAAAATAAATAAATAATAACTAAATCTTTAAAAATAGTTAAAAAAAGAGTTCACTGATCACACATCACCATAACAAATATAATAATAATGAAAAAGTTTGAAATACTGTGAGAATTATCAAAATGTGACACGTAGACATGAAGTGAGTTAAGTGCTGTTAGAAAAATGGTGCCAAGAGACTTACTTAATGCCGCGTTGCCACAAACCTTCAATTTGTAAAAAACATAGTATCTGCAAAGTGCAATAAAGCAAAATGAAGTAAAAAAAAAAAAGGTGTGCCTGTACGTATGAAAAAGGCATTGTGGACTGTAAAGCACCATTCTAGTGTTAATTTTATTATTAATTTTTAATCCTTGTCTAACATGTACATATTTAAGATTACAGGAGTAAATAAAATAGGAAACAGATAGAGGCTCCCTCGCTCTTCACCTAAGAACGGAAGCCAGATACAGAGCAGAAGCAAGATACAGAGCAAAAGCCAGCCCCAGATTTTCTGTTTCTTAAAATCCACCATCGGGCTTCCCTGGTGGCGCAGTGATTGAAAGTCCACCTGCCGATGCAGGGGACACGGGCTCCCAGTCCGGGAAGATCCCACATGCCACGGGGTGGCTGGGCCCGTGAGCCATGGCCGCTAAGCCTGCGCGTCCGGAGCCTGTGCTCCACAACGGGAGAGGCCACAACAGTGAGAGGCCCGCGTACCGCAAAAAAAAAAAAAAATCCACCATCACATGAGAACAGGCTGGAGTTGGTAATAAGGTGAGAAGGCTATTTCCTTTCTCTTGATGCCAAATCCTATACCTTCTGATACACCAGCAGCTCTGCTAGCTTTCTCTGTAGCTCACACTCCAGCCCATCTTGGAGATCTGTGTCTGAAATGCAGTAGGCCAGGATCTCCAGGCATGACTCCAGGGGCCACCGGTCCACAAACTGCAGTGTTAGCCGACTTCTCAGAGATGCATCCTTCACAGCAAACAGGTACTGCCAACCTTCTTTGACTACAAGACAAAAAGATGCTCAGCAAGGCTGGCGCCGGAGCTCAAGAGTCCAGGTTACTTCTCAAGAGAAGGGCTTTGTTCAGTTTCACAAAACAGAAGCTTGGAGGATCCTGAAGATCCTTCTGACCTGAATTAGTTTTTACACTTGGAACACTATATAGGAGAAATACTATACCCTGTTTCTCTTCATGCAAATGTAATCATAGTCACGGGACTTTCTGAAGAGAGGGAGAAAAGGCGAAAGGAGAGGAAAAAGGAAAGATTTTCTCCACTCCCCACAGCCCGCCCAGCTCTTGCTCCCCCTAGTGGACAGCTGTAGGTCATTGCTCTCAACTCTGGGTACACATCAAAGTCTCCTGGGGAGCTGTCAAACAGGCCCAGACCCTGTTTTTATAAATAAAATTTTATTAGAATACAGCCACGCTCACTCGTTTATGTATTGTCTATGGCTGTTTTCATGCTATGACGGCAGAGCCAAGTAGTTGCAACCGAGCCTGTACAGCCTACAAAGCCCTTTACAGGAAAACCTTCTTGACCCCTACTTTAAAGCAAACACTTGCCTGAACCCTATCATGGGCTTCTGTAAACGGGGCTCTGATACTTGTAGTTTATAGAATTTCACAACGATTCTGCCATGCAGGGTTGAGAATACTGGTTATGAGTGCCTGTCCTAAAGTTCGATGGAGTTGGGTTCTAAGCTCTGCTCTACCACTGACTATCCTGGGCAGTTTCCTACCCTCTGAGCCTCGTTCGCCTCTCAGTATCATGAGATTATGGTGGCACCTTTCTCTAGAGTTACTGTGAGCATCAGATGCGGTGATCCACTCAGTGAATGCCCAATACTATTACCACTGGTGAAGGAGGGAGGCATGCCTTTCTGCTCACCACCTGCCGCAGCACAGCTCAGGACCGCATCCTGTATGCTGCTCAAGTCGTCCACATCTCGCCCGTACACTTCAGTGAGCTGAAGGGCCCGGTGCCAATCTCTGGCCACCAGGGCTTCCTCGAAGGCCTTGGTGAGCACATCCAGGGCTATGGGAGAATGCAGGCCCAGGAGGACGGTAGAGAGACTGGCCCGGCCGCAGAGACCCGCTGTCAGACTCTGCCCCTGCTTGGAGGACCCTCGTAGGGGCTCCCAGGCAGCTAGGAGGGAGGCCTCAAGCATAGGGAACTGTTCCAGGAGGCGCTCACACTCCTGGGCTACCTGCTCTGCAGTCAGAGGCACCTCCCTGTGGCCACGAAGCTCCTTCCAAGACAAGCTGGGCTTGGTGATCTTTGACCCCTGGGAAGCCCCCAGACAGGCCACGGTAGCCAGCAGCTTTGAGCGGGACTTAAGGAAGGCCAAGGCAGAGGAGGTGAGGGCTGGGCCTGATGAATCCCTCGGGGAGGAGGGGGGCTTTCTCTCCAGCGTGGGATTCTCAGTTGGCTTTGAGGAGCTCAGTGTAGAAAGTGGGAGGTCCTCCAGGCAGTGGGAGGTATGCAGCTGGGTCAGAATGCCCAGCTGGGTCAGAAGGGATGATGTCTGCTGGCTCTGACGGGAAGAGCAAAGGGCAAGGGGCTCACAGCAGCAGTTGACAATGACCTGTGGCACACTCAGGCTGAGACCCTCTCGGGCCAGAAGGGCTGCCAGCCTGGAGGGAGAGAAGCAGAGGGCATGTAAGGCCTCAGTGCCTGGGCACCATCACTCAATCTCAGAATTTCTTTGTGTGTAAACAAGCAAATGTAAATGTAGACCCTCTAATTGTTCCCCCACCCCCTCTCTTTTTAAATCAAAAGGCAGCCTGTTGGACCCAATTCTCTGCCCCTTGCTTTTTTACTTAATAACAAATCTGGGAGATCTGTCCATAGCCCTCTACAGAGAGGCCCCTCATTCTTTTTTTACAGCTACATAGCATTCCGTTATGTGGAAGAAACTGAATTTAACTAGTCTCCTATTAGCGGACAATGGCTATGCCATACAAAGCTATAATAAAATGACTTGGTACATACAGCATTTTTCATACTTATAACAAAGGATAAATTCCCCAAGGTGGACTGTTAGGTCAAAAATGTGGTTTGTCATTTTAGTGGATATGGACAAACTGCCTTCCCACAGGGGCTGTACTAATTTCTATCCTGCTGGCAACCTGTGAGAACGCTTGTTTTCCTACAGCCTCGCCAACTAATGTGTTATCAAAGTTTTGGATTTTTGCCTACTCATAAGTGAAGAGTCCCCTTAATTTTGTACTTGCAATATAAACATTAGAGGTGGAGAGAGAGAAAGAAACGAGGTACACTGAATTTTAATGTAGCTTGTATAAGAGTAAATGCAAATTAAGGGAAAAGTCTGGAAGAAATCTCAACTTCCTGTATTGAACTCAAACACAGCCCCACTGAGCCCTTGGTTTCCTTGATGAACAATTAGGAAGGCCCAGGCCTGGCTCCTACCTCTCTGGAGGAACTTGTCGCTCAAGCAGGAGGTGTGACACCAGTTGGGAAGAGCTCTGTTGCAGGAGAACAAAGGGGTTTCCCACCTTGACCTCCACGTGATCTGCAAAAGTAAAGAAAGTGATCTTTGCACCACTGATTGCAACATTCAGAGCGCTGTTTTCCAGAATCAATAAAAAAGCAGTGTCCACAGGGATATTGGCTCGGTGCTTTGTGACAGCCTGGAGGGGTAGGATAGGGAGGGAGGGTGGGAGGGAGGGAGATGCAAGAGGGAAGACATATGGGAACATATGTATATGTATAACTGATTCACTTTGTTATAAAGCAGAAACTAACACACCATTGTAAAGCAATTATACCCCAATAAACATGTTAAAAAAAAAAAGTAGTGTCAAAACTACATGGAAAGCCCTTCTGTTGATATTTTTCCAGGTAAAAGGTATTCCTGACATGATGCTGACCACAGGTTTATCTACGCCTTACCACTGTTCTAAAGACTTCCAACTACAGACAGACTTCAGTGAGCAGGCCTAGCCACAGACAGCCCAGACTGCTCCCTTCAATATGACTGAAGTGTAGGTAATACTCGCTCTGCGGACTTGAGTAAGAATCTGGCACTCGACTCAGAGACTTAATTCCCCTGGTGGGTCCTCATATCCACAATAGATCGAAGATCTGGGAGAGGTATTTTTGAGTCATTAATGCCATCAAAATGTATTGAATACTCTCATGTGCTGTACCATTGTACGAGGCATCAAGGAGACAGAGGTGAATAAAACACAGAGGTGAATAACAGAGGACCTCACACGTAGTGTCCTCGGCTACCGCTGTACCCAGGACCTCTTCAGTGTGCGCCTTCCTCTTCCTTGCCCCTAAACACTTGTGGGCCAGTCCTGACTCTATTTTCTTTCTTGCTACTTACCAGGCTCAGAGCTCAAACTCCGCAGGAGAACAGCAGCCAGGGTGCTGCAGTACCTGAAGAAGGTGCCCATGTAGTCAGTCTGCCTGCCGCCTGCCGGCATCTGTTTGCCCAGGTTCTTCTGGAGGAGCTGAGTCTGGATATACACAGGGTGGGCCTCTGCCTCCAGAGCTTTCTCGGCCACCTGCTCCACCAGGGAGGTGAGTGGAGTACTCCTGGGCTCTGGGAGGAGTTATGAAAGGAGAAAGCATGTAGTGTTGAGTCTGTGCATCTGGCTTTGGGTCAGTTTCCAAACAATATGGGAACTGGGCCTCTGTACACTGCATGGGAAATCCTATAGCCTGGCTGCTATGCTGACAAGGCAGTTATAAAATCCTAAGTTGGTTGCTTATACAAGTGATTCTCAGCCAGGAAGAGCTTTGAGTCTGGAGAAATCAGGGTGGAGAGTTCCATTTTCACCCATGTCTCGGGTGGAACAGCTCTGTGAAGCTTACAGCACTCTTTTGCGGAAGGGTTAATCAATGTTTACGGAGTCCCTTCTGGGTATATCTCTCATAAGGAATGAGAAAAATGTTCCAGCTAATGAAGTGCTAAGCAGCCCTTCACTTAGGCGGTGGGGAAACAGGTGGAATTAGTTACGAGACAGGCCCTGGTTAACTAGAGGGCTGGTAGGGCCCACTTCTGAGTCCTCAGCCTCTGCTCCAAAGTACTCTTTCCCGTTCCACTGTGTCCTCTCCCCATTTCAACCTCATCTGCTCCCATGCAGTCGGGCCTGTACCTGGCAGCTGTAGTGCTTCTCTCAGTGACTGAAGGATCTGCTCCAGCTGCTGGGAGAGGGTAGCGTGGCTAGCGACACAGTCCTCGGTGAGGCTGGGCCAACACATCTGAAGCAGCTCAGCAATGCTGCACCGTGGGGGACCTCCCCCCTTTTCCTCTACACTCTCTACGGAGAGCAAATGAGAAAGAAAAAGTGAGGTCTGATGCTGACCTCACGTTCCGAGGCTGGGAGGTTAAAAAGGGGTAGTAAAGCAGCTCACCTGGTTTGATTTGTCCGGCTGACAGAAGTGGGTAATTGAGAATCTTACTGATCTGCTGAAGAACGCTTGGAAAACCTCGAATGCCATCAGCACTGAGGAATACGTGGTCTAGCCGGCGACCTGGAAACAGGATGAATCGAGAAGGAATGCAGAAAAAAATAAGGTACTTTCAGAGATTGACACTCAGTCCTGTATTTACTTGTGAAGTTTTATCTTCTCCAATATTGAGGAAGAAACATACGCTGTGCCGTTTTTCATGACAACCAGCATACTGGGCTTATTCCACGCCCACTGTTCCAGGGTTACCTCTGGCAAGATGCCTCAGCTGTCCACAGCAGCAGACCCAGAAGCTCTGGCATTCCTAGGGAATCGCTGTCCCAAGCCGATCAGGCACTTCCTGTGCATTTGCCTTGGTACTTCCTTCAGCTGAGAACTTGAGCTGGGATCTTATCTGTATCTTGACACCCTCACTAGACTATAAATAACTTTATGGACAGAGATTATTCCTCCTACCTCTCCTGTACTCCCATATACTTGGGATAATCTGGAAATGCAGTAGGTACTAAGTTAATTCCTGATTGATTGGCATGAAACCAGTCAGCTTGAATATTATTAATAGCTTGGATAATATTTACATTCATTTTAGAATATAAGTACTAGATGAGGGAGAGGGAAATTGTTTGATAAAAACAGCATTGTGTATGCCACGGCATACTTTCCTAGAAGGACTTTGTCAATGTTAAAGGACTTTTAAATCAACAGCTCAGAAGTGATTTGGAAGGGTGTGCAGAATAGAGTTACCACAGCAGGCCTGAGACTGCTATCCTTAGAAAGGGCTGCTTGCAAGGTTGGTCCCTGGTTGGTGTCTGTGAACTTGACTAGTAAACGGTTTCCTACACTGATATAAAACTTTCTCTAAATGATGAGAGCGACTGATTGTGCCTAAACTGTTTGTACAATGTGGTTTATGCTGAACACCTGCCTTCCTCCTGAGAGCCTGGAATTTTGGTACATGCTGGGCAGAGGGTCCCTCTGTCACCAGCTCCCAATAAAAACCTTGGGCACTGGCTCACTAATGAGCTTCCAGCAGACAACACTTCACACTTGTTTGTTGTCACAACTCATTGCTGGAGGAGTTAAGCACATCCCGTGTGACTCCAGTGGGAGAGGACTCTTGGAAGCTTGTGTCTGATTTCCTCCAGACTTTACCCCATGAACCTTTCCCCTTTGCTAATTTTGCTTTGTGTCCTTTTGATGAAATAATTCGTAGCCATGAGTATGACTATATGCTGAGTTCTGTGAGTTCACCCATCGAATCACTGAACCTAAGGGAGGCTATTCATATCATATCTATTCACCATTCCTCCCTCCATATTACTCAGAGAGAACATGTTTCTTTCTCTCTCCCTGGTCAGTCCTTCCAATGCTGGGTGTGTGTATCAAGGATGGGTGGGGAGTGGAACTTTGCCTAATTCTTTCTTCACATTCCTCTACCTTCATTCCTCCAAGAATTCCATGTACACATTCTGGGATATTATTAACCTCAAGGTACAATCCTCCCTCCAACTGTGATCCACTAAATTTTCCCTTATACCTGGTTTACAAGCTTGAGACTCAGGTTTTAGGTTAAGTGGGATTCACTCTGGAGGAGGTATGCAGTTTAAGGGCACAAATTCCATTGGTACCATTTTTGAATGTATATTTCTTCCTTGAATTTATCTATAAACCAGAAGAGAATTTCCCCAAATGACTGGAATTTGTTATATCTGTTAAGAAGGCGAGACTCTCAGTAAACTATATTTAAGTTGCCAGACCGGACATGAGGAAATGAACTAATAATCCTTTCTCCCTGTCCCTCCTTCCCCGATAACTTTCTTCTTGCACGATTATTAAGCATCTCAGAACCCCATCTCCTCATTTGAGAATGAAGGGATCAAGCAAAAGCAGCACACTCACCCCGACTCTCAAGGCTGCTGTTCAGGCGCCGTTCAGCAGTTTCCAAGAGCTGCTTGCCGGTTTTCCAGAGCTGGCACTGAGAGCAAGCCAGGTCAAATGCAGCCATGGCGGGGGGGCTGAGGTCTTCCAGAACCTCTCTCAGGGGGGCAGTGGGCTCCACTGGGCTACTGCTTATCCAGAAGTCCTCCTGGAGTGTGGGGATGGGGTCTCCCGAGGTGCTGAGCAGCTTGTCGGTCACATCAGAGATGGAGTAAAATACCATTCCTGGACACCCAGCAGTGGGATACAAGGCAAGAGGTTAAAATGACTCTCACTAGCATTTTTATTTTGAAAAGTAGTTATTTAAAAAATGTCTGAGGTCCTTCTGCACAGTATACCATCTATGCATATCAAGACCACCATTACAGCCCACTCTTATGGCATCAAAACAATGGCATGGAAAGAAAGACCAAGAGAAACTCAAAAAGGTGGAGTTTAGATCCAAATGGGATCTAAAAGTAGGATGAAAGGAGGTAGATCTGTGTGTGCTCATCAGAAAAGATCTCTAAGATACATCACTAAAAAAGCAAGGTAGAAAATAGTACTTGTTGGAAGAGCTCATTTATATTAAAAACAAAAAGGATGTAAAGAAAATCTCTGGGAGCTTATAGAAGGAGCAACAAGTGATGGTAACTTGATATATAGAGCCTAGACCAGCAAGAGATGTAAAAATATGGGACAAGATTCCACTTTCAAGAAATAATGAAACGATGAGCCCTTTCTGCAGTGCAGCCAAGGGTGGGAATTGACATCTGTGAATCCCAGGCCACAGGTGTTAGATACAACTTGTTCACTTGCTAGAAAAGTAGGATAATATGCTTTATCCCTGAATGATTACATGGGAAGAAAATAAGCAATTCCCCAAATCCCAAGATTAATGGCCATCAAAACACATGGTGGAAACTGCATTCACACTCTTCAGTGTAAGTTACGTGGGACAAGCTTAATGGAGGAGCTCGTGGGGCAGGTAAGTGACCACCGTGGTCGGCGAGGTTAGGCACAGCTAGAAAATGACTCTGGAGGTGTCAGGACTGCTGTTCTTCAAGGCAACCGTCCTTCTCTAGGTTTCTGCTCACCTTCATGATGAGCCTCTGATTTGGGTGGTTTTTCCCCCATACCCTCCTCCCGCAGCTCCCTCACCACCTGGCAACAGGGAAGCCGGACCTGCGGCTGCAGCGCTGCCAATGGCCTGCAGAGTTGAGCGGCCGCTGCCTGTTCTTCGGATGGTGCCACTACCCCCGTCCGAGTTCTGGTTTTCGATCTTGTGCTCTACTCGGGCCAGCTCCTGGATGACCTCCTGGTAGCGCTCCATGAACAGCAGCTCCCCGGAGCTGGGCGAGGACTTCAGGTTGAATGTGAACACCACCTGCCACAGAAGAGGAAGGAGTGTGGCTTGCAGCAGGCCCACTGAGGTGGAGAGTGTCTACAGATCTGAGATCTTGCTAGTCATCAGACTCTGGCCCTAAGACATCTGCTTTGTGGGGCTGGAAGAACACTGGACACTCAAAGAGTAGGTCAAATGTAGAAATAACTCGTAAAAGTCAGCAAGAGGGGCCACTAAAGCCCCAGCGGAAAATAGGCAGAAGATGTGGACAATTTCAAAGAGAAAATACACAGGACTAATACACAGGTAAAAAATGTTTTCCCTTCCCAGTAATTCAGGGAATTTAACATTAATACTACCTTGCATCTACCATAATGACAAAGTGTAAAAATAAACCCTCAGGGGGTGGTGGCGGAATGAACTGTCACAACCTTTTTGAAAAGCAATTTGGCAGTCTACAGAGCTTTAAAAATGTTTATATTCTTTGACTCAGTCGTTTTTATGAAAAACTTTCTTAAGGAAATAATTCAAAAGTCAATGTATAAAGGTGATAATCTTGACACTATTCACTACAACTATTACCAGGTTGAAAATAAATGTGAGTTAACAGGGAATGGTCAAATGCAGCTACTAGAGCAGACTATCATAAGGTCACTAAAATCAGTTACTAGGCAAATGCTTATATTATAATGTAAAAAAGGCACTAAGTTTTAGATTCAAAATGATCTTGGCTCTACATAAAAGTCACATACATCTTGGAAAAACATTGGCAAAAATATGCTTTTATCTTTAGTATTGGTTGTTCTGGACAATAGGTTAAAAGCAATTTTAGGGCTTCCCTGGTGGCGCAGTGGTTGAGAGTCCGCCTGCCGATGCAGGGGACACGGGTTCGTGCCCCAGTCTGGGAAGATCCCACATGCCGCAGAGCGGCTGGGCCCATGAGCCATGGCCGCTGAGCCTGCGCGTCCGGAGCCTGTGCTCCGCAACGGGAGAGGCCGCAACGGTGAGAGGCCCGCGTACCACACAAAAAAAGAAAAAAAGTAATTTTATTTTCTGGTTAATATTTTTTGGTATTTTCTTATAAATATGCACAACTTGCTCTGTAACCAGGTTTAAAAATAAAACCATTTATTAAAAAAGATAAATGAAAAAAAGAAAAGATCAAAGCCCCAGGAAAGGAAGAGGAAGTGAGGACATTTAGCGGTAAAGCATCAGGGGGCTTACAACTGACTTCCTCTTGGTTTGGGTGTCAGAAAGGCTGGCGAGGGTCCTATCCTTCCCAGAGGGATAGAATTATCATTATCATTAAAGTACAGGATTTAAAATGTGTCAGAGGAAGTTAAGTAAAAATTATCCAATCACCTAGATGTTTCGATGATTTACTCCTCAACAAGTAAACTCACATGAAAGAAAAATTCTGACCTATGTATTAAGGGACCAGTGCAAGCGTCATAAATATATCAAGAGAGTTTTAAAAACTAGAAGAGTGGGCTTTTATGCTTTTAAATTTAAGCAATAGCAGAGGATTCTTGTATTTCTCACAGCTTGCACATAATCCGCTTAACATTCCAAGAGGTAGCACAAGCAGGTATTATATTTAACTCCAAGTTTCAGATGAGGACCTCAAAGCTCAGAGGGAGTAGAGTCTTTCTGGTTTCGACTCCCTGCACTTTTTCCTACACAACATTCTAATTTGCTAGCTCCCTACACTTCCTGTATGTTAAACTGGCATTCTATTTATTATTAAAAATTGTTTGCATAGTGATTTCTAACTATGTAAAACCACATATGTGTTCAGAAAAGGACTACAAGAAACAAAAATATTTCAACGTTTTGACTGTGGCCGAATGTTTTCTTTTATCTTGTTAAAAAACTGTTTTAAAACAGTTTTTTCTTGTTAAAAAACTGTTAAAAAAAACTGTTTATACAAACAGATGATTCAACGGCTTAAATCTCCTCCTTCTGGATCTTGAAATCCACAGTGCTCAAGATCAGGCTCCATACATGGAAACTCCCTCCTGCTTCTGCTACACGTGGCCCCTCAGGTGCGCCCGACTGGCTCTGCTTGCACAAGCATCTGGCTTTACCTGATGCCCCGCGGGTCCCAGACAGCAAAGGGCTACCTTAGCGTTCTTAACTGTGACAAAGTAGAGCCTAGGCTCCTAACACCTGCTGCACAAGTACCCGCCTCACCTGATGGGCTTCTGCGAAGTTCCCCCGGAGGATGCAGGATGCCAGCAGTGACTCAGGTGGGGAGAACATCATGCGGATGAGTGAACTTTGAGGTTGAGGCTGCAACCGGCCATCCAGCTCATTCTTCCCAGATGCAGTGCTCAGACTTCCCTCTGTCAGGACACAAGAACGTGGGGGTCCAAGGAAGGGATAGAAATTGAGGAAAAACTATTCTGTCACCTGCTGCCAAACTCCTATCTTCTCAAAGTCCTTCTCTAAAAGGTCTGTAAACGGACCTTGAATTTTCCTCAAATGAAGCGCATACCTATGCTATCATCTTTTTCTTTTTTTTTAAATTGAAGTATAGTTGACTTACAATATTGTGTTAGTTTCAGGTGTACAGCAAAGTGATTAGTTATATATATATATATATTTATATACATTATATACATTTTTTTAAAATTCTTTTCCATTATTGGTTATTATAAGAAATTGAATATAGTTCCCTGTGCTATACAGTAAATCCTTGTTGTTTGTCTATTTTATATATGGTAGTGTGTATCTGTTAATATGTTATCATCTTTGAATATAAGACTTATGTACCAACAACCTTCCTTGGGTATTTACCTCTGTTTCTCTCTACTGATGGGTAACTCAGCTGATAGTGAAATAGCCCTTTCCCCACTGAACACAAGCATGAACTGCTCGGTCCAGGTTTTCACACCGTGGTGTATGGCATCTCTTTATGAGGGCAAAGCTGCTGGAAGTTGGCAACTGGTTGGGACCCCCCATACCTGAAGTACTTGTGCTCAGCTCACTACTTGTACTTTCCAGGGATGGGTTGGAACCTCTGTCCCGGCCATCTAGAGGTATTAGGAGGAAAGAGAGAAAATCATCCATCAGTGCCTTACAGTGTAGAAAGTGAGAAGTTGGCTTAAAAGCTGAGATCTGGGTAGAGTGAGAAGATAATGGGTAGCTACTATACCAGTGGTTCCTTCTACAGTAAAATGCAAATTCCTACAGACCAAAGGTACAGGGGTGGGCTTAATATGGTCCCAGTGCTCATTTGGATAGTAGCTTATATCAGTGGTTTCCAGTCTCTGGGTCTCAGAGCCCCAGGAGCTTTCAAGTTACTTCTAGGGGTCAGTGACCCCCATTGCTCACTAAGCACTGTCAATAGTCTGAAAAAAAAATTAAAGCACAACTATTATGACATGGAACCAGTATGGTGCCAAAGAGGGTCACAAAATTTTCTGACATAGAAAAAGTTGTCCTCATAGTTAAAAAAGTAGGGAACCAAAGTATAAGGCCAGGCTGATCAAAGACCATGATATTGGGACTTCCCTGGTGGCACAGTGGTTAAGAATCCGCCTGCCAATGCAGGGGACACGGGTTTGATCCCTGATCTGGGAAGATCCCACATGCCGCGGAGCAACTAAGGCCGTGCGCCACAACTACTGAGCCTGCGCTGTAGAGCCCGTGAGCCACAACTACTGAGTCACAACTAGAGAAGCTCGCACACTGCAACGAAGAGTAGCTCCTACTCGCTGCAACTAGAGAAAGCCCACGTGCAGCAACAAAGACCCAATACAGCCAAATAAATAAATAAATTTATTAAAAAAAAAAAGACCATGATATTGAAAGTCCTGGAGAAAAAGCATCTTCTTCTCAACACCTGCTTTCCTACAGCTGTAGGAAAAGAGAAGATGGATTGTGCATTCTGGGCGGGATGGGTCAGGTGGATGCAAACTGACTCAAACCAATTAACTGAGCAACTTAAGGGGCTCAGCCTTTACGTTTTCCATGTTTCTCTCATGGTAGTCTCCACCCCAGCCAGCATGTTCATGTCTCTTGTTGCCACTTAGCTAAAGCCTACTCATTCTTCTGAGCTTGATTCAAAAGTCAACTCTTTCAGAAAACCTGTTTCTCTGCCTTTGTAGACTACGCTGACCTCCCTGTCCATGAGATCTCTTCTGTTTTCAGGCCGTGCCTCCGGGCAGTTTAAGTTTTTCATGTATACTGTCTATGCAGGTAAATTATAAATTCCTTGAAGGCAAAGTCCTGGTTTATGCCTCATTCACCTCCCTCAAGATACCTAGTATTTTTTTTAGCACACAGGAAACTCTTTATGAACTCCCTGTTAATTATTTTAAAACTACCAAAAACCATAATGGAAATTTGATTATCTAAAAATTTAATACTTCTGTATAATGCGTCTGTGTTAAACTCCTTTAGAAAAACTCATAATCAAGTCAAAATACAAAATGGAGCAAAACTTGTAGCACAAAATGACAGAATATTTTTCTTAAGGTATAAAGAGCTTCTTACAATTCAACAAGAAAGACAAACCCAACAGAAAATATGTACCTTAGACTGAAAAATATAAATGGCCAATAAAAGACATTCAATCTCAAACTAAAAATTAGTATTAAAACAATGACATACCATTACTATATTAATCATATTGGCAAAGACTAAAAAGAAACCTGATACTACTCATTTTTGTTGAATGTATATGCAAATAGGCACTTACATACAGGTGGTGGGAATGTAAATTTGGTCCACCTTTTTTGGGGGGCAATTTGTTATATCTGTATTTATACCCAAATATACTTTGACCTTCTATATTATACTGCTAGGGACTTATCCTATAGATATACTCACACAAGTATGCACAGACATACGTACAAGGTCGTTTACTGTAGCATTATTTATAATAGTAAAAAACTGGAAACAATTTAAATGCCCACAAAAGGGTACATATGACAATGGACTACTAAGCAGCCTTTAAAATAAGTGAAGAGAAGTGAGTTCTCAATATAGAGTATGATATGTTTGCATATGTAAGAGGATATAAATGAAAAAAGAAAGTTGCAGTTCTCTCTATGTAGTATGATGCATCTGTATATCTAAAATGATACACATGCTTGTATTTCATGGAGAATTTTTGGAAGAAAACTATTAGCAAGGGTTACTTTGGGGGAGTGGGATTAGGATAATCTTAGATCACTTTTGTTTGTACCTCATCTTAAAGAATTGCTTTAAGATACTTTAAGATCTTATCTTTATCATTAGTGTTAAGGTACTTTATGAACTGCTTTATCTTGAAGAATATTAGACAAGTGGCACTATACCATTTGCCGCTTGTGGGAAGGAGGCATGGAGAAAGTTCTTCAGATTACCTGCCCGGCTCCTTCTTGTCCGACGACCCCGGCGGAGACTGGGGTGCCATGTGGCGATGGGCCGGTATCTTCGGGAGGGTTGCTCCTCTGAAACAGCAAACCCAGTGGGTCATACGGGAGGGTGATCAATTTTTTTTTCAATTCAAGTATTGCTGCTGTACAATATTATATGTTACAGGTGTACAATATCGCGATTCACAATTCTTAAAGGCTATACTCCATTTATAGTCATAAAATATTGGCTGTACTCCCTGCGTTGTACAATATATCCTTGTAGCTTATTTTATATCTAATAGTTTGTACCTCTTACTCCCCTACTCCTATGTTGCCCCTCCCCCTTCTGAAAGTGATCAGTTTTGATTTGACCCACCTCCTGGGGTAACAGGTAGGGGAAGATCTGGACTGGCCTGTGCGACACTGAGCGGTACCCCAGAGTTCTGACACAAGTGGCCATGGTGATATGCCCTGAACTAGTGTGCCTCCATGCACTCCTAGCTGTCCCACATTCCCGAGACTTTTCTCCTTCCTCCCTTTCTGTTATCTCCCCTCACCTGAGCCCTGGTTGCTGGTCACCACCTTGTACCTCCACTGGGCCTCAGAGAGAACCTTGGAGAACTGGTGCAGGCGGCTCTGCAGTCCGTCTCTGCTGCTGCTGCCCAGGCCACTCTGGCCTTCAAGCAGCTTTGGCTTCTCGGGGGAGCTGCGGCTGCTTAGCTCATCCAGCTGCTCCTGCAGCAGCCTGAGGAAGGCCCCTATTACATATTCATCAGCCAGGAACCCACTGATACCGCTAGTAAAGTGCTTTAGGTCCAAAAAGCTGTGCCTGTGAGGCTCTGGGCAACTGTCTTTTGGCTGTGCCTTCAGAGAGCTTGGAACTGTGGAGGCCAGGCTCCTGGAGGCCCCCAGGGAACCCTGTTCTGACCTCCTCTCAGGCTGTGCTATGTGCTGAGGGCTCTCTGACGGGGACCTCAAACCCAACGGGCCCTTCCCCTCAGCGTCATCATCCTTAGCGTAGTCCTCGGGCAGGTGAGGCTCTGGGTGAAGATCAGCAGAGGTGATAAGGAGCAATGAGAAGATGTTTTCTAGAAGTTCCAGGCACAGAGAGTCAGGAATACTGCAAAGATACTGTTGACACCTGGCCAGGTATGTTGAAAAGAGATCTGAAGCACCTGAAGAAGCATGTATAAAAGAAGAGGCCAGAGAAAGAGAAGAGAGAAAATGCAAACATTAGAAACAGTACTTGCCAGACTGAAACATTCTCCCAAGTTTAACTCATTTCTTTCTTTGTAGTGACTCAGGGAACCGTGGTTACAGTCAGAAGACTAAGAGGCTATTGAGCCATGTCTTTTCATGATTTGTAGAAAGATTTTGCTCCCTTAACTAAAAGTACAGTTCAGTGAACACTCATTATTTTGTTTCTGCTTTTTAAAATTACATTACTCCTTATCTCTGAGAAGCACTCCATATTTCAGTTCCTAGAAGGAAGGCAGCCTGGAGACTCCTTATTCCTCAATTCCTGTTTGCACTCATTGTTTTACTACAGGTGATCACAGCCTACCCAGATCTCTTAAAATGACCATGCTCAGAGATGAAGGTCTATTCCAAAGCTGCAAGGGAGAGATACTTGACCACCAGTCACAGAAAGCAAGGTAAGGAGTTATAAGTTTTTAAGAAAAATGAGAGCTAATAGGACAGAAGGTTCTTTCAAACTGTAGGCTGTGACCTCTGACACTGACTTGGACGGCTGCATTTGAAAAAACGAAATAAAGCAGAAAAATAATCAGGAGTGTGCTCTGTTTGGAAGGGTAAGTAATGTTTCTTAAAACTTATTTCAGTTTACACATCACATACACACATATACACATACACATGAAAGCACAAATTATATACCTAGGTGCAAACTGGAGTGATGTGAAATGCTATCTACTGTGGACTGGAGTAAAAAAAAGAAGTATTTGGAAAACACTGTACTAGGTGCTCAGGCTGTGTTAGAACTTATGCAGATCACTTGCTTTCTCCATGTCCCTTTGATTCACAGAGGCTGAAAAATTATTCGTGGGCATAATAAAACCAAGGCCACCTCCCAGCCCTGGTGGCAAAGGGTTCCCACGCAAAGAACCTGCTGGGACAGGTTTTTCCCAGCTCCCGCCAGGGAAGGGGTGGGGGGCGGCGCTGCACCTGGGGAGGAGAGAGAATCGTTCACTGGTTCTGCAGCCACGGCCAGGTCCTCAGAGGGACCGTCTTTGCATTCCTGGCACTGGGAGTGCCGGTGTGAGTTCACACAGAGGGCATAGATGGCATACTTCATGGCACAGAAGCTCCGGTAGAGTGTCAGGTTCTGACACCGGCTCAGGTGCGCAGGGACCGTGGCGTCAGTTGGATCTGAATTATAGAGAGAAACAGGCAGAACTTCAGAGATGCTTCTTTTTTTTTTTTTTAATTTATTTTATTTTTGGCTGCATTGGGTCTTTGTTGCTGTGCGCAGGCTTTCTCTAGTTGCTGTGAGTGGGGGCCACTCCTTGTCGCAATGCACGGGCTTCTCATTGCGGTGGATTCTCTTGTTGTGGAGCACGGGCTCTAGGCGCGCAGGCTCAGTAGTTGTGGCTCGCGGGCTTTAGAGCGCAGGCTCAGTAGTTGTGGTGCACGGGCTTAGTTGCTCCGCGGCATGTGGGATCTTCCCGGACCAGGGCTCGAACCCGTGTCCCCTGCATTGGCAGGCAGATTCTTAACCACTGCGCCACCAGGGAAGTCCCAGAGATGCTTCTTTCAGGCAGGGGCTGCATGTATGGCTGAAGCAAAGAGATGCCACACTGCTAGTCCCCTAGGTGTTCTCACCCTCTCTCCTTTCTGGCAGTGTGATGTGTGTCCCTTCCAGGCCTTTTTTTCTATTCAACAACTTTCAGTCTCTCGGTTGCCTTTTCCCCACCAATCTCCCCTCTACATGTCTGTTCAACCTAGGCCTCATAGCTATTTAACAAATCTTTCCCTTACATTTCTTAAAATACTTGCTTTTCCTTTTTTAAAAAAATAAAACTTGAAGTACATGTTTGGTCTACCTTTCGAATGCCACATTACCCAAGAGGCAGGCTTAAAATGTGTTTAGATTGAGAAATAAGAGAGCAAAGGTAACACGGTGTTTAAAAAAAAAAAAATACTTGATATTTTTAGGAAAGCCCTGAAGCAGACATCATGAGAAAAAACATAAACTCTGTTGAGATTCCGTACACTTGTTTAATAATTTATAATTTTTCATTAAAAATTTGTTTTGAACTTAGGAGAGAGGAAGGTTACCATCTTTACAGAATCTCTAAACATCTTAATCTACCCCTAATTCTTATCATAGCAAAAGTATAACCTGTTCAAAGAAAAAACATTAAATGTAATAAAGCAAAAAGAAGAAAAAAATACCACCCATAAGCCTACCAGCTAAATACAACCACTGCTACATTCTGGTTTAACCCCTTTAATAGTTTTGTGTACATGTGTATGTGTTTGAGTGTAACATTTTATATACTATTTAATTTTCCTACTTCTTAAAAATCCTTTAGAGCATAAGCATTTGATTATGTTTCTTTACAAACTAAATCTCTGCTGGATGCATATAGCTCTACTGAATGAATCCCTGTCTAGGCATATTCCTCAAGGGCAGGACATTGGAATAGTTAGGGATGTTTTGCTACTACAATGCTGCAACAAGCCCCTTTAGGTATAGGTTTCCTAGTGATTACTTCTTAGAAGCTTGGCCTTGCCAAGGTCAGGGTAATAAGCAGAACAAAGTCAATATTGTTCTATGGTCTTGACCTCTTCATGGCATTATTGCCCAGAGCCAGGACTTGCAAGCTCGCTGAGAGGGAGTGGCTCCTTACATTTTTGCCCCAGATGCCTCTCTTGCCTCACCCTAGTCCAAGCCCTATTATCACTCCTCTTTTGCCTTTTCCAAGTTCAAGTTCTAAGTGTGTTCTGGTGGGTCACCAGGGATAGATTTCAAACACTTCTTCGGAAGCCTTTTGTACTCGTATGTAGAAAACAGAGAGTTCCAGTTCCTTTAGGAAATCTGCTAAACAAGTTGTCTACCTTTCCAAAAAAATATACAATGTAGTAACACTAGTTTTACAATTAGTGGTAGGTCCTTTAAAAAAGTAAATCAAAGCAATATCTAGGCTGAGAGACATCTACTGCCATATGAGAATGTTTGTTTCTCTCAAAAGTAAGGTCCCCGGCCTGTGTAGTAGGTTGTGACCACACCATCATATGATTTTTGAGAGCAAAAAAGAGTGCTTGTTTAATGGGGACTTGAATTTTAAGCAAAGATCTAAGGTTAAAACAAGGCTTTGTGGGCTTCCCTGGTGGCGCAGTGGTTGAGAGTATGCCTGCCGATGCAGGGGACACGGGTTCGTGCCCCGGTCTGGGAAGATCCCACATGCTGCGGAGCGGCTGGGCCCGTGAGCCATGGCCGCTGAGCCTGCGCGTCCGGAGCCTGTGCTCCACAGCGGGAGAGGCCACAACAGTGAGAGGCCCGCGTACCACAAAAAAACCCAAAAAAACAAGGCTTTGTTACTGTTTCAGGCAAGTCTTTCTTCTAAAAGAAAAACTCTAAAAAAAACTCAAAACAAGAATCTTCTAGAAGAAAGACTCTTTACCTGTTCAATAGACCATGAAGAAGATATGGGAGGGAAGGAAGGCACAAAATGTGCTGTAAGAAAGCTTATGAAGCATGGAGAGACTCACCAAGAATTTGCATAAATACTGCCAGTGACGATGCTGTGAGTTCAGAGGGCAGCTCCTAATTCTGTTCCAGTGAAATGAGGGTATGCTCATGGCTCCTGAGCTGGATCCATGAGGACAAATGTTCCTATGGAATTGTTCTCACAGGATACCCTAGGCCTCATCAAGAAAGGGGAAGATGTCCCTACATCTTGTCATCTGATTGTGGCAAACAGCACTAATTTAGAGGGTACCTGCTGGACCACCCATCTTGATAGATCCCAGCAATCACATCTAGATAAATCTTGTGCTGTAAGAAACATCTGCAAGATTGTCCTAAGAGGGAACCTTGCCCAGGTCACTCCATCGCCAACTCACCATGCTCTTGCTGGGGGTCCTTGGCTGGCACCTTCTGTAGGAGCTTGAGGACATCTTCCTCCCTGAGGGCTGGAAGGTTTGTAAGGTGATGGAGAGAGTAGAGCACTGAGTGGCTTTCTCCACCATGTAAGTGACACAAGAGATCTCTCTTTGGTATGGGGTTGCTGAAAGGGAAAGTTGGGAGGATGGAAGGGGAGGCAGTTTATATAATTGCTTTGAGAAAGACCAGTCTCCATTCCCTCTTATTCTTTCTCTCTGGCCTGTAACACCACAGGTTTCACTTCCCCAAACACTAAATTTCAGTTGGTCTATGATAGAGGATAGCATTTATTTACCCCCAGGGAAGGACATTCATCAAGCTGGCTTTACTTGTCTAGTAAGGACCTAGGAAGGGCCTCTGTGCTCAGCAGGGTCTAGAAAGGGCCCACAGATTAAGCTTCCTAATTTCTGTAATTTTCCTAGCTGAGAGCTGACACGAGCTTCTCTGCTTTTCTTTGAGTCAGGGCCCCTTGCTACTTCCCGCAGTGGCCTACTTGACTTCAGAAGTGCTGGTGAGGTGGGTGAAGAACAAAATAAGAACCCAGATCCAGGGAAGACCCAAGGCTAAGTTATCAGGAAAACACAGGGCTGCGCACACATTTCAAGAGGCAGTTGTTGAATAAAAATGTGATCCAAGATAACACGTGGCTAAGAATGTGGACCACACTCACTAGCTGTGTGACTTTGGGCATGTTATTTAACACTTCTGGGCTTCAGGTGCCCCACCTTTAAAATGAGGATAATATTGGTGTTTACCTCACAGGATTATTGTCAAGCTTAAGTGAAATCATCACGCAAAGGGCTTAGAGCAATGCCTGGTGTATAGTAAGTGCTCAGGAGATGTGAGGTTTTGTTCTTGTGATCACTGTCATCCTTAAATTATCCTCTAGTTATGACCTTATGGCTGTGATGAAGATAATCACTACTTATGCTTCTTTCCTGGTTTAATAGTTGGAACAATTATTTGTTGCTGGTCAACACTGTCAACTTAAACCATTTACAGGGAAGATGTCTTGAAATGGCCACACGTGCAGAGCATGGGTCAAGTGTGCCCAGTGGTGGGAAGAGGGCTGGCTGTGCAGGGCCATACCTGCTCTGCTGCACACACCACTCCAGGACCTCCAGGTGAGCCCACAGCCCATCACAGGCATCCCTGAGGAGCTTATCACAGCCTTGGTCCTGTGTTGATACAGGAGAAGAAAGAGATGCTGACTCAGGCACCTGGGGTCAGAGATGTGACCGATTTCAGGACCCTGCATTCTGCCTCAGCCCAAAGTGCCACCACACTCATTTCCAGAGATGCTTGGGCTTCAGAGTGAGAGTTACCTGGGTCCTGTGGAGTGTCTGGAGCAGCCTCTGGGCTGACGTTAGGCTCTGGCAGTGTGTCCAGCCCAGGAGCACGAGCAGTCGACTGAGAGGGCTGAATTCTCTATCTAGCAGGCAGCCAAGACTTGGGAAGTCTTCCTCCTTCAACAGGGTGAGTGCTGTCACCTGGAAGCCAAAGGAGGCTGCTAGAGGCAGCTCTGGGGACTTGCTGCTAATCAGGGTAAGAAGCTTTTCAGTATAGAAGGGAGGTTTCTGACAATGACAGAAGTGGCCAGTTGAATACAAAGTGTTTAGGAAAACACTAGACTGTAAGCTCCTAGAAGGCAGGGATTGACTTCTGTTGTATCCCCAGATCCTAGCATAGTACATACTACATAGAATGAGGTTAGTAAATAGCTGTTGAAGAACTTTCCTGGTGGTCCAGTGGTAAAGAATCCCCCTTCCAATGCGGGGGACGTAAGTTCCATCCCTGGTCGGGGAACTAAGATCCCACATGCCGTGGGGCAACTAAGCCCATGCGCCACAACTATGAGCTCGTGTGCCTCAACTAGAGAGCCTGCGTGCCACAACTACAGAGCCCACGTGCCCTGGAGCCCACACACCACAACTAGAGAGAGAAAACCTGCATGCCACAGCTAGAGAGAAGCCTGTGCGCTGCGACGAAGAACCTGTGTCGCAACGAAAGATCCTACGTGCCGCAACTAAGACCTGACACAGCCAAAAAAAAAAAAATACAATAAATAAATATTAAAAGAATAGCTGTTGAATTAAACTAAAGTTCAGTTGCAATCTGGAAAGAGAAGGTTAGAGTAATTAGAGTCTCCTGTCAGCTAGGCAACATATTGCTGCCACTGTCTTTTCTTCCTCGCACCCTCCGGAAAGCTTACATGTATCCAACATTTCAGTGCCTGCCCAAGGACTGACACAAAATGCTGGCAGTTCTAATTATGAATGATACTGGTTCTCAGAGCCTTCTGGAACTGTGGGATGGACACAACTAGATGACTCACTGCTAATTAAACTGCTTTGTGTTGGATAAATGAGTGCGAGAGAAAGGAGGAGTGAAGAAGCCTGGAGAGAGTCCCTGGGTACTTGAGTGGTGAAGCACTGAGTTTGACTTACCAGGATCTGCTCGAGGAAGTGCTTGCTGTTGCTCAGGCAGTAGAAATAGGCCAATTTCCAAGCCTGGGCTGGGTCAGGATTGGAGAACAAGGCTAGCATTGCCCGCTCAGGATCTAGATGAGCCAGTGAGACTGAAAATCAAACCAGATGGGGTTACTGGGGAACTGGACTCTTCTTTCCTAAGGTAAAGCCCACTTGAAAAACCAATTGATATGAGAGTTCGCTCTTTTAAAAAGTTAAACCCGGTTTTCTATACTTCTCTCTTAAAGACTCTTTACTTCTCTCAGTAGTTTCTGAAAAGTTCTTTTCTGCTATGACTAGTACTTTATTTTTTTCTCCATCACTCTTTCTTAAGCTATGAAAGCTGCGCTTTCACAGAACATCTTGCCCATTTTTGCTTAGCTTCTCCCATTAGGTTTCCTGAACAACATGGAAGGGAGCAGGCTAGAGGGAGTCAGAGGGGCTGGGCAGAGTGGAATGAGAGAAGCAGTGCAGGGAACACACCTTTTCCCGAGGGTGTGGTTGTCGGTGGCTTTTCTGGGGCCTTCTCTGCATAGGTGTGGCCATACAGGGACACCAGGCCCCGCCCGGCCTCGTGCAGCAGGCAGCCGAGCAGCCGCTCCTCCCGCAGGGGACTCCCCTCTGCCCTGCTGGCCTCCAGCAGTTCCTCACACAGGAGACGCAGCTCAGCCCCGAGCGGCTCTGCAGGGCAGCGCAGAGTCCGCAGGGCTCCGTAGATGGCATCGACTGCCCCTGGGTGCCCGATGGCAGGACCCCGCAAAGCTCGCAATGCCTTTCGAATGAGGTCCACCAGCGCCTTCTGCAGGAACCAGCCTTGGAGGCCCGTGCCATCTTCCTCCCCAAGCAGGAGCTCCAGCAGTGCCTGCGCAGGCTGAGGGGCCTCCCGCAGAAGATCCCAGAGCAGAGAGACAGCTTCTGAGCTGAGCCAAGGGGGCCAGCTCTCTTGCCTCTGATTTCCATCAAGCACAGAGTCTGCCGCATCTTGTGCTAAGACCGTGTACAGCTCCTAAATAGGGGATGAAGAGAGGGATGGGCGCTATGTCCAGAATGTTATCACTTACACGCCTTCATGTTTTCCTCTTTTCAGTGTATATATACACTGTATATATATGCATGTGTGTATACTACTTCTGTAGTAGTTACTATGTGCCAGGTCCTTTACACAGAAAAATTAATACTTACAACCACCTTAGGAAGAAGACACTACTATTATCCTTGTTTTGAAGGTGTCCTCAAATCAGGGGGTTGAGGCAAAGAGAGATTTGCCCAAGGCCTCCATGCTCAAGCTAGTCACCCCCACCCCCATTGCCTCCGAAACATGCACTGTCAATCTAAATCAGGGACTGCAAACTCATAGACCAGGTAACAGATGGGAATAAGACACTACGCCCAGCTCAAGGCATTTAAATTCAACTTTTAAAAGAACACTACAGACCACTTTTTAACCCCTGATCTAAATCCCAACCAAGATTTTGGATACAGAATGTAGTAACACTAGTTTTACAATTAGTGGTAGGTCCTTTAAAAAAGTAAATCATTCTTCATCCTTCCCTAAAACCTTCCCCAGTACCTCCAACTCACACAACTCTCCCTCTTTATTGGGCTTTCAATGTTCTTAAAATTAGTACCATATGGCTTAGTACCTAATTGTGCCATGTGTGTATTTCCTTCCTCCCCAGCTAGATTGCAAGCCTTTAAAAGGCAAGATCTCTGTAGCCTATAATTTGTTTGGTAGGTTATTTCCCACACTTCAGCACCATTTCTGTGGGTGGTACTCAGGGATACCTGTTCAGTAACCGCCTCCAAGATGGTCACAGGACCATGAGTCCTTGACCTAATACAAGTGAAAGTCCCTACCTTAAATCCTATTGTGAATATATCTTCAGTTAGCTGGTGGCTGGGTCATGAAGAAAATAAGTATTGAGCCTCAGAGCATCCCTCAAGCACTTAAGTATAGATCTAGTTAAGATTTTGAATCTGCTCCCAGAAGGCGGTTGTAAGGATTAGCTATAACACATTCAGTGCACCTGTTACAGAAAAGGTATTCAGCAAGTACATACTAGTTCCTTTCTCCCTTTATATTCCCTGCCACATTCTGGTGAAAAATTTAAACATCTAGTTTAAAACCAAGTTAGGTATTCCTTTCACATGAAATAAAAAAAAAAATTAATCCTCAGCTATAATTAGTACTTCTGGCCAAGCTACCTCTAAGAATTCTACAATCAGATAAGTTTCCCCTATCTCTAAATTCCCCTCAAGGGGCCTCCACCTAGCCTGGTCTTGCCTGAGAACAGAGAACTGCCAACATCTTGGGGACCTGTTTCTGCTGGATCCCTGAAAGCTGAATTTGTTGAGTGACTGCAAACCTGGGCAGACAGATCCAGGGCCCTCTCTCACCTTGAGGATGTCCTCTGGGATGTCACCTGGGAGGTCTTCTGACAATAAAAGAAACTCAAGTTTTCTCCGGAAGCCAGCTGGAAGTAACTTCTAGAAGAATCATAAGAAGGAAGCATAGATATTAAGCATGTGCTTTAGCTGACAATTATAAATAAATACTTCTTTCTGGTTCATCTTATTTCTGCTGTTTTCTCTAAGATAAAGTACTTCTGACCATTAAATTCCTGGGTATGTCTTCAGACACTTTTCTTTATAAACGGAAACAGCTAAACTGAACACATTCTCCTCTTAAATACTAACACTTAAATCCCACACTGTTTAGCCTCAAATGCCAAGGCTTGCTTATTTCATGTGATTTTTTGCCTCTAACTTGAAGTCCTTCTCCAAGACTCTCCCTTGCAGTGTCCAAAACACCCAGTTATGGGTAAGCTGGGATGGAATGGCCCACATGATCCTCTTTTGGCCTAAACCCATTTTTGGTATTCATTTTTCGTTGGAAAATAAAAGTAAAGGGGGAGAGATCTAATGTTTATGAAACACTTATTTATGTGCCAGGTACTATGTGCCATATTTTCATGTGTTTTTAAAATCTCATTATATCGCTAAATCAAACAAAACTATGGCATCAGGATGTTTTTAAAAATAATCTGCAGTAATGATGAAATGGTTAGGAAGTATTTTCTAATCATTTCAAGCATGAAAAGGAAAAAGTGACCCCATTGTTGTTAATGAGACAGGACATCAGAGACTAATGTATAAAGGAAGAGAAAGCCTCTGACTCTTCCTGCACCTGCTTGTTTCACAATAACTTCCCCTCACCTGGTCCTTAAAACTAAAATGATAGTCCCCCTTTCTCCAGACACAAATACAAATGAGATGAAAGTCTGAGACTAATTCTGACAGGCACTCTTTTAAATTAGAGACACCTGTAAATCATGCCATCTGAATGCTTATATAATGCTAATGATTGGAAGGTGTAGAGAAAATTCATTCTGGCAAGCTGAAAGTTAGTGATTCTATCAAGGGCTAAGAGGAAGGAATAGATAAGCCCAGACAGCAGGCCCTTAATAAAAGAACTAGTTAAGATTTTAGGACTTTCATTAAAATCCTGAAGACTGACTAGCTTGTATCTTTTTTTTACTGGTGAAATTACTTTATGCATATGCAGGGTCATAGACAACTAACATTCCTAAACCAGGCAAGAATTTGCCCAATGTTTCTAAGCACAGATTTTCTTACTATAAAAGCAAGGCATGTTCAGTGCAGAAAAAGCAGAGAATACAAACATGAAAATGAAAACACACATACACAACACCCCCCCCCCAAATCTTTCCACTGAAGGAGAACTATAGTTACAACTGTGTTCGAAGGGTATTCAGACCATTTTCTACATATGCATATATGCATGCATAACAAACATACTGTTTTCTAAATTTCTTTTTCTTCACATAGCAGAATATAAACATCCTCCCATGTCACTGAAAATTCATTTACCACGTAATTTTAATAGTGCCAGGGTATTTTACAAGTAGATTAATCAGTCTTGAATTGTGGACATGGGAGTTGTTTCTATTTTTCCCTTATTAGAAGCAGCATGCTGTGAACATCATGCTGTTCACGTGATAAAAGATAAAAGGGCAGAAGACAAAAATGGATGAAGGAAAGGGAAAATGGAATCAGTTTCAACGAATAATTCAAAAGGAGCTTTTGACAGCAGGTGGGAGACTGTAGCAGGAGCAGCCAGCAAGCCCCTAAAAGATGAAGTCCAGTTCTGGCTTTGTAGAACTACCTCAGGAACACATTTTAAGTCTTGGTCCTTGTATTAAGTTTTAAAACTCTCTGAGGTCCTTGTATAAAGTTTAAAACATTCCCACGACTGTTTAAATAACTGAGGTACTGGAGCTTTAAGGACCAAATGATCTTCAATTCTGGGAAAAATAACTCTTAGTCTGTGAAAAGGAGCCAGGGAAGTGAAATCCACCTCCTGATCTGGTTGACCAGCTGTCCAGAAATTTAACAACCACCTATCAGCCATAAAGTAAACAAATACCCTCTGCTGAGGCAAAAGTTCACCTGGCTTGACAAATTCCATGTTTGTACTGAAAAGCGCCTTAGTCAGTAACAATAACATTTGTTATTTTTTTTCTTTTCTCTTTGAAGATACTATTGAATATTTTAGCTGAAGATGTCTCTTTTAGATCTGAAACTACAGCCAACTCTTAAACAACCTGGGGTTGATTATTTTTCAGTTTTGCTCCTTTTCCTTTCCTCTCCTGTTGATCTTTTTGTCATTTCTCTTTGCTAGACCATTACCAAAAGCCTGGATAATAAATACATTTAGATTAGTAACTTCTGGTGCTTTTTGACAGCTATGTGAAGAAGGGTAAGTGTCAGGCCAAAGCAGAACTAAAGACAAAATTCATTCTGATGACTGAGAGAAATTAAGAAGAAAATTAGGCTAAATTATAGACATTTACAAAATAGAATTTATGGTTTCTTGTGGCTTACCTGGCGGCGCAGTGGTTAAGAAGCTGCCTGCCAATGCGGGGGGCATGGATTTGAGCCCTGGTGTGGGAAGATCCCACATGCAATGAAGCAACTAAGCCCGTGTGCCACAGCTATTGAGCCTGCGCTCTAGAGCCTGCGAGCCACAACTATTGAGCCCACATGCCACAACTACTGAAGCCTGCTTGCCTAGAGCCCATGTTCTGCAACAAGAGAAGCCACCGCAGTGAGAAGCCTACGCACCACAACGAAGAGTAGCCCCTGCTCGCCGCAACTAGAGAAAGCCTGTGCATAGCAACAAAGACCCAACGCAGCCAAAAATAAATTAAAAAATAAATAAAAATTTAAAAAAAGAATTTATGGTTTCTTAATTTTAAGTCTATGTAGGCTAAAAATATTGTTGAGGTGGAAAAAGCAGAGGACTGATGACTCGAAGGCAGAAGACATTGGTTCCAGCTCCAATTTTGCCAACTAACTTTATGGTGTGACCCTGGGCCAGTCATTTATTTTCTGAGTCAGAGGTTCCTCACTTAAACCTTAAAGTCTCAGGTTTAATACAAAATTGCCGAGAATTTTTTTAATGGATATCAATTTCTGATAATTAACACATATTTCTAAAAGTGCTTTGAATGGTAATTTTTCTTAAAAAAATAAAAACCAAAAACCCTTCCTTACAAGCTTTCTTTCATTATTAATTTGCACATTTTGTTTTCATATTTGGTAACTTTTATTTCAATTCATGTGAGTTGTTAAATTATTAATTAAAGACGTTTAAATCTATAAGATTTCACTGTACTGGACTAGTTAAAATAAGATTTTTGGATGAACAACCAAGTTTCAGCTCAGCCCATTCTCCCTTACTTGAGTATTATGAGGATTAGACTTTATTCACTATCTTGTCACTTTCACTGAGTTCTGCAAAGTTCTGTTTGGGCACAAGACTCACAACAGTATTTAACACAATAGTATCACCTCAGATGGTAGGTTAGTGAATTAATGCCAATGTAAGTTAGTGAATTAATAAATGAATTTAGGTAAAGAGACAGCAGTAAATACTTAAGCCATTCTCACTGTCAATACTGAGAAAGGAATATGACAAACCTCAAAATACAGGAAGTAACAGACAAAAGGGAAATTTCATAACTCCTTCCAAGTTCTTCTCAGTCTTGGCCTCGGGCGAAAATTTTAAATGTAAACCTACTTACCTTTTCCAGGGCCAACCATTTTTCCAGCACAAGAAGCCAGACCCAGGCTAATCTTTGAGGGTTGATATCCTGTCCACATCTGAGAAATGTAAAAAGAAAAAATTTCTAAACAAAGAGTTTCTACTGACCTTTTTTTCTCTTTTGTGATCCAAGATTTAGATTTCACTACTCAGTCTGTTTTAAACCTGAACTGGCGACACATTGTCCTGAGAAATTTTTGAATGTATGTGACAGATCAATAAAATGAGAACCAGAACAGAACTAGCAGCTTTCATTAAAAAAAAAAAAAAGTCACAATTCTATCTCCACCTCCCTATCTAGTTTTTAAAACAAACTAATATTACACAGAAAGCCATAAGAGCAAAGCTATCTGAAATAGAAAACTTGAAATCTTGAAAACAGAATCAAATAGTCAAAGAATAAAGGAACTTTATAAAAATTTATTTTTAACTCTATGCCAGAAACAGGATTATAGGAATTCATAAGCCTTTCTTTGAAGTTAGTAATTTAAATTAGACAGCAATTGGCTAGAATCCAAATTTAAGGGAAAAAACAAAGGAAGAAAAGAATCATGTAAATCTCCATTCTATATGTGCTAATACAGTACTTTCTCATAAGTAAATGCCAGAGTAAGGAAAAGTGAGGGAGAGACTGAACGTTTAACTCCTATACCACTAATTGTTAATAGCACTGCCAGGAAGAACTTCATTCAAAATTCAGATAGAGAACGTTGGTTGCCAGGGGACAAGGGGGGATCAATGTACAAAGAGGTATTCCCAGGGAGCAAGGGAATTCTTTTGTGGTGATGAAATAGTTCTGTATCTTGATTATACTGGTAGTTATATGAGTCTAAGAATGGATAAAGATACACAGAACTACACACATTAAAGGTGAATGCAGATTGGGACTTCCCTGGCAGGCCAGTGCTTGGGACTCTGCACTTCCAATGCAGCGGGGTGCGTGGGTTCGGCCCCTAATAGGATCCCGCATGCCCTGAGGTGCAGCCAAAAAAAAAAATGAATTCAGATTTAAAAAATGGTGAAAACTGAATAGGGGCTGTAGTCTAGTTAACAGTACCGGTGTCAATTTCTTGGTTTTGATATTTACTATAGTTATATAAGATGTCACAATTGGAGGAAGTTGGGGAAAGGGTACTCTTTGTATTGTTTTTGCACTTCTTGTGAGTCTATGCTTAATTATTTCAAAATAAAAAGCTTTAAGTGTATTCACTTCTGGTCCTTTGTTAAAGCTACAACAATATCTTCAATTTCACAAGCAAGAAGGGAGCAGGTTTGCTCTTTTGGGGGTAAAGAAAATGCTTTTCAACATAGCTGCACTATCTACTTTAATGATAATAAACAAGAAATGGTGGTTCCAGGCTTAAATACCGCTCCAGATGATAATTCAAAGCCAAACTGATAAAGTAATAAATAGGCATGTATTATAGAAGTAATTTTCAGAACATGTGAAATACACTCTACCTTTGTTAACTCTTCAGAGGTGATTGAGTGAGGCACATGGACCAGAGCTCAAGTATAGTACCTTGTGTCTCCCGCTCTGTGACTGCCTGGCAGGAGGACAGAGTTCCCTTACCTCAGCTGACTGGGACACATGACCAGCGCCTGAAGTATATCTTCCACCTTCTTTGGGATATCCCCTTGGGCCTCGTGTAGCTGAGGTACACAAGCCTGTGCCAACTCCCATTCTCCTCTCCGAAGGCATTCACAGAAAAATCCAAAAAGCTGCTTCTGAGAAGCAGTTTCCTCTTCTCCAAATGGATGATGCATTTTCCCAGCACAGAGTGCAGGGAGATAGAAAGAGATGAATTACGCAAAACACATTGTCAATTTTCTCACTCGTGGAGTACCTCCTATAAACAACACACACCCGAGTCAGAAGAAAAGGAAGGAACTATATTTAGACAAACTAGCCGTACTAGGAAAGGCGGGGCTTACTTTTCTAATTAACGTTGTAAATTTGATTTGACAGGTTACTGTCTCTTTTGGGAAGTTCCACATTTCTCCAAGGGGTGGATCCCATCTCTCTAGGCGCATCCAATATTTAACGAATATTAATCGTCATATTATCCCGCGGCGCAGACCCGAAACTCCACTTCCGTATTTCCTCCTAAGCTTTTTGCCTAATCCGGCTCCAAATCCCCAGGTGGTCGCCTCTTTACGGATGAGAAATTCAGCAGGAACCTCCCTAGTTTGAGCCCTCTTTTAAGGCACAGGATTGAAGATCAGGAGAGGAATCTGTGTCAGAACTGGAGGGCAGTTGGGATTGGGGCTCAGGGACGCTCCCTACCGGGGTCGTGGAGAGCGCTCCCGCCTTCCCTGGGGCGCCTTACACTCACCTGCTCCCGGCGCCCAAATCAGCAGAGCTTCCAGCGCAGCCATGTTTGAGCTGAGTCAGGTGACAAATCCAGTTCAGAAGGTTGAGCGGGGGAGAGGATGACGACTGACAGCAGCTACTCTAATTGGTCAATCGAGGAAATATGCAAATAAAGCGCCATATTTGTTTGGGTCACGTGATTCCACCTCCGCATTAGAGGAAGCTAGGAAAGAGGCATCAACTACCTGGTCTAGGACCACCGCCCACGGTTTTGACAGATCCTCCGCCCGTTAGTTGAACTGTGTGCTAGGGCCTACTTTAGAAGCTGAATAAGATACGGTCCTTGTCCTCAAGGAGATCACAGTCTAGTGACAGGGTGCAGGTCAATAATTAGGATGCAGTGGGCTAAATTATAAGATAGAGGTATGCACGGGGAGATGGGAGCAAAGAATGAGCAAAAGCCTTTCTCAAATAGAATCATCTGAAACCGAGTCTTAAAGTAACAGCTTACTAGTTTGCTAATCACAGCTGCTTTTATACTGAACCTTCTGTTCGGTTTCCTTGGTGTTCTTCAACTATAGACGCTCACGTTTCCCCATTACATATTTTCGGTTTGAGCAATTTCATTCAGCATTTTCCAAACTATTTCACTACCAAAGTGTGGTGAAAAAAAGCAAACCAAAACAAACCAAAAGCTCTCTTGCAAAACCTCTTCGATGATTGGTGGATTCTCATCTATTCCCAGAAAACTAACATGTCTCTCTGGTCCATTAATCAGTTTTTAAATGAAGTGACAAAAGAAAGAAGAGAGAAAATTAGAAGCACGTTTTTTCCTGGCTCATATTCTCCTTGCTGATGTTCCTCCACCGGATTTTGATAATCACTATATTGAGAAGTCGGGACTCGCAGACTTATTACAGAATGTGAACTACAATTCCCAGCAAGCAACGGAGCCGACCTGGGCCTGTGCCTACGTTTTATTGGATATTTCGCCAGGGTGACGACCCAACCAGCGCTTTGTTTGTTGCTTTGCGTCCCTTTCCGCGGGGAACTGTGTGAGGGGTAGGGGAAACTTTGAAAGTTGGATGCTGCAGACCCGGTACTGGAAAGTTTCGTGTGGGGGGCGGCTTGGGGAATCGGGGTGCGCTCATTATTTCCTGCTCCCTTTCTGGGCCAGTGTTGTTGATATCGGGGGAGCGGAGAGTCACTCTTGGGTGCAGGGCACACCCCCTTAGGTCCATAAGGATCTTAATTTGAGCCCCGCCGCAAATCTGAGGCGTCTGGCTTTCCTTTGTGGGGGACGCTTGGAAGCTGCACCTTGTTGGGAAGAGTTATTGTTAGGGGCTTCTGGGGTGATGTTTTCGCTTCTTGATGTCCACCCGTCTTCCCACTTGTGGGCAGTTTGAGGTCTAGGCAGGGGAGCCCGTCATTAAGGGAAGTTTAGTGTCTGACCCTCTTCAGATGGTGTTGAAGAAGAGGTATTTAATAGCGTGGAATATGGAGTCAGATCCCTGGGTTCGAATGCCTACTCCACCATGTGCTAGTTGTTAGACTTCGCTCAAGTTTTTCAACTCAATGCCTCAATATTAGTTTGTAAAATGGGGTAAAACATCTGAAGCTCTTGGAACAGTGGCACCTAATAAGGGCTCAAGAAATATTAGCTATTATTTGTTAATTCACAGTTTTCATTGACCATCTAACATGTGGATTTTTTTTTTCTTGATGAGGAGAGGATTCAGTTTCCAGGATTGAACATCTTCCCTCACACCCTCAGTTACGTGCTCGTGCACACACACGCAGAGCAAGAATTTACGGTTTCTGGTGGAAAAAACAAACATGCAAGCCATAACAATACGTTAGGAAGATTATCGAACAAATGTGTACACAGTGTAATGAGAACATTGGAGAGGAAGAGCCTAAGTAGCGGGAAGTCTTTGTGGAGGAAAGTCAGGGAGGCAGGGAGGCATTTGTGTAACTTACCAACGTTACCGCCAGAAGGCAGGTCACGTGAGGCAACTAATGCTGTTTTCCTGAATGAATTGATCATAATCCCCAGCTTTGAGCACTACGGAGCCAGGCACCATCCACATCCTTTAACCTTCTCTGCATTCCTATGAAGTGGATATTTGAATGATGCTTGTATTTCAGATGAAGAAACTAAGATACTAGGAGGCAAGTGATTTTTGCCAGAAAGGCCAGAATGTGGGCCTTGCAGTCTGATATATGAATGTGAGGGAAGTGAGGGACCAGTTTATGAAGAGGCTATAGGCCATCATAAGAAATGTGGAATTTATACTGTGGTCTCATGGTCCCATGGGTGGTTTTAAAGGATGAGAGTGACAGGATTGGAGCAAATTTTTAGGAGGCTACCTCTGACAGGATTGTGACTTGCAGGTCAGTTTGGTGCTTATTCCTCTCTGCTTCCACAGCACATATATATTCCAATGACAATACTTGCTGCATGACTGTAATTATTTGTGTATATATCTCTTTTCGTCTTTTACTGTGAGTTCCCAAAGGGGAGGAAATATACTTAGATGATTCTTGTGCCACAGAAGCGCAGCAGAGTGTGTGCTTAAGAAGCATCTGTGGAAGGAACAAATGAATATTTTTGTTTGTTTTCTTGTTTGTTTGTTTTGCGAGGCAGGGAGTGACCAGAGGCTGTATGCAATAGTCTAGGCAAGTGATAGGAGTGGTCCTACTAAGGCAGAGATAGCAGAGTTGGTCATTGTTAAAGTATTCCAGGTATTTTGGGGTTTACAATTCTCCTTTTTTTTTTTTTTTTTTTTGCGGTACGCGGGCCTCTCACTGTTGTGGCCTCTCCCGTTGCGGAGCATAGGCTCCGGAAGCGCAGGCTCAGTGGCCATGGCTCACGGGCCCAGCCGCTTTGCGGCATGTGTGATCTTCCCGGACCAGGGCACGAACCCATGTCCCCTGCATCGGCAGGCGGACTCTCAACCACTGCGCCACCAGGGAAGCCCCAGTTCTCCTTTTTGATTGAATTTATCAGTCTAAATTGTGTCATTACCCAGAGCTACCTGATCTGTGAAGACCCTAGGCAATGATACAGCAGATGTCACTTGGTAAACTTTCTTTTTGAGAGACAGAAACCAATACTGACAAATTCCCTTTGAGTGAAATGAGAGGGATGTATTTTATGTTTGTGGGAAGGATGTATGTGTGTGAGAGAGAGAAAGAAGGAGAGAGAGCGGGAGAGAGGAAGAGAGTGTTAATCTGATCCGAGAATATAGATGTTAAGTAGAAATTTGGGCCATGGTATTGGAAATAAATATCTACATTCTCAGTATATATTTTTGTTCCAAAATGTGACTCTTTTTCTGATAATTATATTGTTTTATCCCCTGGAACAATGAAGAGTTCCTATTTCTACTCTATTCAGAGGGTATTTTGCCATCTGAGTGAGATACACAGCTTCTCCTTTGCATGAGTTATTAAGGGAATCAGAGTGATTCTATTCTAACTCTCTGAAGACAAATATATCATGAGCCTCATTTAGCCCTCACAGGGTTCAACCAGAAGAGTGAAATTTAATTGCATGTGGGAATGTGAGCAGCTAGTATAACGAAAAAACAATTTCAGTTTGTAAATAACACCTGAAATAATAAAATCTCATTTGATTCAGAAGGTTTGTTCTGATTCATAGAAAAAGGAGAGTTTAAATATGATTACAGACTTGTAGTACAGTATACTGGTTAAGAGGCTAGGCCTAAGAGTCAGACTTCCTGGTTCGAATTCTGGATCTACCATTTACTTTTTCTGGTAACAGTGGAATGGCTAACCTTTCCAGGGTTTAGTTTCTCATATGTAAAAATGAGATCAGTGATCAATCTTCCTTATAGGGCTGTTGAGAAGCTTGCTTTGGAACAGTGCCTGGTATACAGTAGGTGGTCAATAAATTTATTGTTACAGTGCAATGAAAGTAAAGACTTTCTGAGAGTGCTGTTTGGAAATATGTGTATTAATTACACATCCAAATAAAGTTTATAAATGCACTGAAAATCTTAAGATGCTATATAAATGTGAAACGGTGTTATTATATTTGTGTAATAAGTTTTAAAGAATTGTGTGAATTGCACATTCTTATATGGTTTTGTTTCTCTGTGTGCATGTTTGACAAACGGTTGTCTCCCCTGTTTAAAATATTTGGAAAGATTTTATTGCCTTCCTTTATTTTATCAGTAATATTTTAAATACCATACATTTCATTTTGTATGTGGAGACGCTTGAAGGGTTTTTTATTTTGTAGAGTGTTTTGGATAGCCCATCTACTGTTGCTTATGCTATTTTCCAGCTCTTTTTCAAGGTTCTTCTTTATCTTGCTGCATCTGAAGGCATGGGTAGCAAGAAACTAAGACGAGTGGGTTTATCACAAGAGCTGTGTGACCGTCTGAACAGACATCAGATTGTTACCTGCCAGGTAAAATTTATTTAATTTTTTTCAGTGAGAAACTTGAAGTACAAATTAATCTTTTTTTTTTCTTTTTCTTTTTTTAGATTTTTTCTTTTGATGTGGACCATTTCCAAAGTCTTTATTGAATTTGTTACAACATTGCTTCTGCTTTATGTCTTGGCCTCTTGGCCATGAGGCATGTGGGATCCTAGCTTCCTGACCAGGGATCGAACCCACACCCCCTGCATTGGAAGGCGAAGTCCTAACTACTGGACCACCAGGGACGTCCCACAGATTAATCTTGTGTACTTAAATAACTCTTAATTACACCTGAAATATGAACATTTAGGTTTATAAGAAAAGATAAATATGGTGCTTGCTAATTTTAAATAACAAACCACTTAGCTTGTATTTCCAAATGTGATTTCATTTATCCAAATGCAAGATTTTTGCATTTTGGGTGGGGTTGGGTGGGGAGAATGCTCATAGCAGAAGGTGAAGTACACCTGTGCCATTTATTTGGGATTCTAGAGAAGTTTTGTCCTCATAAAAGAAATTTTGCAGTTACATGAGAAATATGACTCAAATGAGGAGATAGTATTCAAAATGGGTAATTTCTCTTGAAGGCAAGAAAAGTTAGTAGTTAGGATTATTTTCCTATTGATGGAGTGAGAAATATATAAGCAGATGTTGTATATTTAAGCAAAAGACTAAAGCAAATCCCTCTTAGGAGGCTACATAAGATTTAAGGTTTTCTGTTAGGATTTAATCCTTAATAAGACAGACTTTCAGAGCGTGCTGCAATATTTAAAAAATTGCTTTGTGTGTTAATGATGTCTCTGTTATACATTTTATAATCCTCATGTCCATACTTTGAAATACTCTTAAAAGTATGAAATTTAACATTTCATTCCGTAGTTTTATTTATTTATTTATTTATTTATATTTATTTATTTATTTTTGGCTGTGTTGGGTCTTCGTTTCTGTCCGAGGGTTTTCTCTAGTTGCGGCGAGCAGGGGCCACTCTTCATCGCGGTGCGCGGGCCTCTCACTGTCGCGGCCTCTCTTGTTGCGGAGCATGGGCTCCAGAAGCGCAGGCTCAGTAGCTGTGGCTCACGGGCCCAGTTGCTCCGCGGCATGTGGGATCTTCGCCCGGACCAGGGCTCAAACCCGTGTCCCCTGCATTGGCAAGCAGGTTCTCAACCACTGCGCCACCAGGGAAGCCCACCGTAGTTTTATTTATTTATTTGGCTGCATTAGGTCTTCGTTGCTGTGCGCGGGCTTTCTCTAGTTGCGGCGAGCAGGGGCTACTCTTCGTTGCGGTGTGCAGGCTTCTTATTGCGGTGGCTTCTCTTGTTGTGGAGCACGGGCTCTAGGCGCCCAGGCTTCAGTAGTTGCAGCATGCAGGCTCAGTAGTTGCGGCATGCGGGCCCTAGAGCATGCGGGCTTCAGTAGCTGTGGCGCGTGGGCTCTATGCCGCGCGGGCTTCAGTAGCTGTGGCACGCAGGCTTAGTTGCTCTGCGGCATGTGGGATCTTCGCCCGGACCAGGGATCAAACCCGTGTCCCCTGCATAGGCAGGCAGATTCTTAACCACCGAGACTCTAGGGAACTCCTTCCATAGTCACTTTTATTTTCTTTCAATTATTAAATACTCCCTCTGAATGATTTCATAGCTTAGGAAGAAACTCATTTTTTTTTGAAGTAGTACAACCTCGTAGTTATTTATTTTAACATTTTTATTGGAGTATAATTGCTTTACAATGGTGTGCTAGTTTCTGCCTTACAACAGAGTGAATTAGCTATACATACACATACATTCCCATATCTAACCCGTCCTGCGTCTCCCCACAACCCTCCCCATCCCACCCCTCCAGGCAGTCACAAAGCACCGAACTGATCTCCCAGTGCCATGCGGCCGCCTCCCAATAGCTGTCTGTTTTACATTTGGTAGTATATTTAAGTCCATGTCACTCTCTCACTTTGTCCCAGCTTACCCTTTCCCCTCCCCATGTCCTCAAGTCCAATCTCTATGTCTGCGTCTTTATTCCTGTCCTGACCCTAGGTTCTTCAGAACCTTTTTTTTAGATTCCATGTATATGTGTTAGCTTATGATATTTGTTTTTCTCTCTGACTTACTTCACTCTGTATGACAGACTCTAGGTCCATCCACTTCACACAAATAACTCAATTTCGTTTCTTTTTATGGCTGAGTAATATTCCATTGTATATATGTGCCACGTCTTCTTTATCCATTCATCTGTCGATGGACACTTAGGTTGCTTCCATGTCCTGGCTATTGTAAATAGTGCTGCACTGAATATTGTGGTACATGACTCTTTTTGAATTATGGTTTTCTCAGGGTATAGGCCCAGTAGTGGGATTGCTGGGTCATATGGTAGTTCTATTTTTAGTTTTTTAAGGAACCTCCATACTGTTCTCCATAGTGGCTGTATCAATTTACGTTCCCAGCAACAGTGCAAAAGGGTTCCCTTTCCTCCACACCCTCTCCAGCATTTGTTGTTTGTAGATTGTCTGATGATGCCCATTCTAACTGGTGTGAGATGAATCTCATTGTAGTTTTGATTTGCATTTCTCTAATGATTAGTGATGTTGAGCATTCTTTCATGTGTTTGTTGGCATTCTGTATATCTTCTTTGGAGAAATGTCTATTTAGGTCTTCTGCCCATTTTTGGATTGGGTTGTTTTTTTTGATATTGAGCTGCTTGTAAATTTTGGAGATTAATCCTTTGTCAGTTGCTTCACTTGCAAATATTTTCTCCCATTCTGGGTTGTCTTTTCGTCTTGTTTATGGTTTCCTTTGCTGTGCAAAAGCTTTTAAGTTTCATTAGGTCCCATTTGTTTATTTTTGTTTTTATTTCCATTTCTCTAGGAGGTGGGTCAAAAAGGATCTTGCTGTGATTTATGTCATAGAGTGTTCTGCCTATGTTTTGCTCTAAGAGTTTTATAGTGTCTGGCCTTACATTTAGGTCTTTAATCCATTTTGAGTTTATTTTTGTGTCTGGTGTTAGGGAGTGTTCTAATTTCATTCTTTTACATGTAGCTGTCCAGTTTTCCCAGCACCACTTATTGAAAAGGCTGTCTTTTCTCCATTGTATACTCTTGCTTCCTTTACCAAAAATAAGGTGACCATACGTGCATGTGTTTATCTCTGGGCTTTCTATCCTGTTCCATTGATCTATATTTCTGTTTTTGGTGCCAGTACCATTCTGTCGTGATTACTGTAGCTTTGTAGTATAGTCTGAAGTCCAGCAGCCTGATTCCTCCAGCTCTGTTTTTCTTTTTCAAGATTGCTTTGGCTATTCGGGGTCTTTTGTGTTTCCATACAAGTTGTGAAATTTTTTGTTCTACTTCTGTGAAAAATGCCATTGGTAGTTTGATAGGGATTGCATTGAGTGTGTAGATTGCTTTGGGTAATATAGTCATTTTCACAATGTTGATCCTTCCAATCCAAGAACATGGTATATCTCTCCATCTGTTGGTATCATCTTTCATTTCTTTCATCAGTGTCTTATAGTTTTCTGCATACAGGTCTTTTGTCTCCTTAGGTAAGTTTATTCCTCGGTATTTTATTTTTTTTTGTTGCAATGGTAAATGGGAGTGTTTCCTTAATTTCTCTTTCAGATTTTTCATCATTAGTGTACAGGAATGCAAGAGATTTCTGTGCATTACTTTTGTATCCTGCTACTTTACCAAATTCATTGATTAACTCTTGTAGTTTTCTGGTGGCATCTTTAGGATTCTCTATGTATAGTGTCACGTTGTCTGCAAACAGTGACAGCTTTACTTCTTTTCCGATTTGGATTTACTTCTTCTTTTCCAATTTGGATTCCTTTTTTTTTTTTTTTTTTTGGCGGTATGCAGGCCTCTCACTGTTGTGGCCTCTCCTGTTGCGGAGCATAGGCTCCGGACACGCAGGCTCAGCAGCCATGACTCACGGGCCTAGCCGCTCCGTGGCATGTGGGATCTTCCCGGACCGGGGCACGAACCCATGTCCCCTGCATCAGCAGGCGGACTCTCAACCACTGCACCACCAGCGAAGCCCTGGATTCCTTTCATTTCTTTTTCTTCTCTGGTTGGTGTGGCTAAAACTTCCAAAACTATATTGAATAATAGTGATGAGAGTGGACAACCTTGTCTTGTTCCTGATCTTAGTGGAAATGGTTTCAGTTTTTCACCATTGAAGACGATGTTGGCTGTGGGTTTGTCATATATGGCCTTTATTATGTTGAGGTAAGTTCCCTCTATACCTACTTTCTGGAGAGTTTTTATCATGAATGGGTGTTGAATTTTGTGGAAAGCTTTTTCTGCATCTATTGAGATGATCATATGGTTTTTCTCCTTCAGTTTGTTAATATGGTGTATCACATTGATTGATTTGCGTATATTGAAGAATCCTTGCATTCCTGGGATAAACCCCACTTGATCATGGTGTATGATCCTTTTAATGTGCTGTTGGATCCTGTTTGCTAGTATTTTGTTGAGGATTTTTGCATCTATGTTTATCAGTGATATTGGCCTGTAGTTTTCTTTCTTTATGACATCTTTGTCTGGTTTTGATATCAGGGTGATGGTGGCCTCGTAGAATGAGTGTGGGAGTGTTCTTACCTCTGCTGTATTTTGGAAGAGTTTGAGAAGGATAGCTGTTAGCTCTTCTCTAAATGTTTGATAGAATTCACCTGTGAAGCTGTCTGGTCCTGAGGTTTTATTTGTTGGAAGATTCTGAATCACAGTCTCAATTTCAGTGCTTGTGATTGGTCTGTTTGTATTTTCTATTTTTTCCTGGTTCAGTCTCCGAAGGTTGTGCATTTCTAAGAATTTGTCCATTTCTTCCAGGTTGTCCATTTTTTTGGCATATAGTTGCTTGTAGTAATCTCTCATGATCCTTTGTATTTCTACAGTGTCAGTTGTTACTTCTCCTTTTTCATTTCTAATTTCTATTGATTTGAGTCTTCTCCCTCTTTTTTCGTGATGAGTCTGGCTAATGGTTTATCAATTTTGTTTATCTTCTCAAAGAACCAGCTTTTAGTTTTATTGATCTTTGCTATTGTTTCCTTTATTTCTTTTTCATTTATTTCTGATCTGATCTTTATGACTCCTTTCCTTCTGCTAACTTTGGGGTTTTTTTGTTCTTCTTTCTCTAATTGCTTTAGGTGTAAGGTTAGGTTGTTTATTTGAGACTTTTCTTGTTTCTTGAGGTAGGATTGTATTGCTATAAACTTCCCTCTTAGAACTTCTTTTGCTGCATCCCATAGGTTTTGGGTCATCGTGTTTTCATTGTCATTTGAAGAAACTCATTTCAGCCTGACTCTTTCTGGTCATCTGTTTGTGCCCAGACTCTTTCAGGCGCAAGGGCAGCGCCAACATACACCTGAGTTGGATTCTCCTGCTATGTGTTGTTACTTGGTGTGTCCTCTGGTATATGCCAAGGTGGATAATCAGAGGATAAGATTATATCATCATATCTTTTAGTTAAGGGCTATTTAGGGGGAAAATACTATAAGAAACATATAAATCTTTGATCTACAATAAATTTTTTTTTAAATACTTATGGATTTATTTGGCTGCACCGGTTCTTAGTTGTGGCATGTGGGATCTAGTTCCCTGACCAGGGATTGAACCCAGGCCCCCTGCATCGGGAGCGTGGAGTCTTAACCACTGGACCACCAGCGAAGTCCCTGATCTACAGTAAATTCTCCTTTTATTTACACATAGATAGTGTCAATTGAAAGTTTCCTTTCAATTCAAGTATCTTTGTTGCACATATATATTTTAAATATTTTCTTTATGTTTTTTAGGACTTTCTATGTCTTTCCCCACTGGAGCTTATGAAGATGACTGGCCTTAGTTATCAAGGTGTCCATGAAATTTTGTGTGTGGTCAGCAGGGCCTGTGCCCCACGGATGCAAACGGTATGTATATATTTTAGAATTATGATTTGATTTTTATTTTGAAACGATTCTGTATCTCGTTTAAAATCTTTTGGGTGATGAGGCAAAAGCAAAAATAGAGATGAGCACCTCAAAAATACCAACCCTCACAGCATAGAGTTAGTCCTCTAATGAGAATATATGTAAGAAATTTATGTAGTTTATAAGCTCATGGGAGACAGTTCCTAATTATGGGAATGAGAGGGTAATATGATTTTTTTTTCTCTGTAGCTGGTATTGATATTTCAAAAGGTCATCTTTCTCTTTTGTTTGTTTGGGTAGGATTTGTGAACCTCATGGTTAAAGTATAATATACTGTTAATTTTAGAATGCTCCTGTCTCTGTAATACTAACTTTTATCATCATTACTTACTGTGCATCATAAAGTACACCTGTTGGACTTATACTCTCTTACTGATTGAATGAATAATACTTGAAAACTTATCCTCACTCCTGAGAAGAGTTAAAGTGTTTTGTAATAAGCCCTCATCAAGTTGTACCATTATTTCATACTTTCTGTCTCATGACTTTAGCTTTTCAAAATATAGGTTTAGTGCATGGTAGAAAATATCTTGTTTTCCCAGAATAAGAGTTGCCTAAAAGTCTGTCCGGTGTTTTGCAAATGTATTTGTTTATGTGGGTTATAAATTACTTACCTTACTACCTTATATTGAAATTTGGTAACCACTAAGCAATAAAGTAGGGTCTAACTCTGTGAAGGAGGAAGGAAGGAATATTTGTGTCATTTGAAACTTTGCAAACAATGAACAAAGTGAGTATTTTCTTTTGTTCAGATTTAGCTCATTGTCTAAGGAAAATACATTAAAGGCAAAATAGTCAGAAGGAGAATTAGAATTGGAGTTAGAGATGGGCAGTAATCTTAGCTTTGTCGTTGATCCGGTATCTTTGAAGAGCTCGCTTTGTTTTATGGGAGAAGTTAGAGAGTTAAAATAGTATCTTATGATTCTGTGACAAGGTTCAAGTTAACTTGTCACTATTTTGAAGGTTGTAAATCACCAAGAGAACATTTTGGTTTGACATCTGTCGTTCTATTTGGTCAATATCTATGGCATGTTCCTAGTTAGATAATTAAGTAGGAGACTGTGAATAGGAAATTCACCTTTAGTCTCCACTTCCATCACCACTTTCAGCTGCAATGTCACTACCATTCCAAATGCCAGTTCAAAGAGCCATCTTTCTCCTTCGTTGTACATTACTCTGGTAAAATTCTTTAGATTTGAATCCTGTCTTAAATATTGGCTTAGCCTTAGTTCATTCCCTCATAAAGCTTTTTTTGTTAATTTATTTATTCAATAATTTATTCCTTCAACCAATATTTATTGAGTGCCAGCCATGGATCTGTCAGGTACTGGGGATATTATAGTGAAGATGACTGATAAAGTTCCTGCCCTCATGTAGCTTACAGTCTAGTGGGAACAGTCAGACAGTAAACAAATAATTATACAAATGATTAGTTAACTGTAGTAATGACGAGTCCTATCAAAGAAAAGTACAAAGAGCTTAGAAACTGAATAACAGGGACATTACTTAGTTTAGGGGTCCTTAGGAAGGGCTCCCTCAAGGAAGCGATACTTCAGCTCAAACCTGAAGGATGAATAGGAGAGAGATGGACAACGGAGTTGGGAAGGGAGGGAGCAGGGAAGGGTTTGCAGGCACTGTGACTGGGAAATGCAAAGCCCCTGCGAAGAGCAGGAGAATCGTGCTTGTATGGTAAGAAAGTCAGGCCAGTGTGAATGAACGTAGTGGCAAGGAAGAGAGTGTCAAGAGATGAAGTTGTAGAAGCAAGCAGGGGTCAGGTCACTGGGGCCTGCAGACCATGTTAAGGATTTTGGACTTTATTCTGAAAGCAATGACACATCATCAAAGGGAGTAATCTAATACGTGTTTTTAAAAACTCAGTCTTTAAACATAGACAAGTGATTGAAAAGGAACAAGAAAATATTTGTGAAGACTAGTTAGGTATCTATGACTGTATTACAGACAGATTGTGACATGGACTATTAGTGTGGTACTGATGCCGATGGTGTAATGTCAGTTGTCGTGAGAGATACTTAGGAGGTAGAATGAATAGGATTCGGTGATGATTTGGCTGTGGGTGGTGGTGAGGTACAGGAAAGTGTCAGAGATGATTCCTTGATTTTGCTTTGAAAGATTGGGTGGTACCATTTCCTGAGATGAGGAATATCGGAAGAGGATCAGGTTTGAGGGCGGCAGATCGTGAATTCGTTAGTACCTGTCGAATTTTTGGTGCTTGTGAAACATTGAGTAGAGATGCGAAGTAGGCAGTTAAATATGTGGACTGTGAGCTTGAAGTAGAGGTCTGCACTGGAAGCTGCATTGGGGAGTCATCGGGGTGAACATGGTAGTCAAAGCCGTGAAAATGGGCGAGAGATTGCCTAGAAGGTATGTACAGTGAGAATGTAAGTGTGCCCAAGACCACGTCCCGAATCCAGCCAGCATTTCAAGATCAGATTAGACAACGATGAGTCTAGGAAGCAGCCTCCAGGGTAGAAGAGAACTGGTGGTGTGTCATATCGCAGGGTCCCTCTTTGTCTCGCTTATGTACACACTATGATTTCTGAAGTCTTGTTCTGTTAGTTCATTTTAGTAGTTTTTTGAGTCACGAGAACTATTATTCTAGTAATTACATTTATAGTTGCAAAGGAAGTACTTTAATGTTAACAGATTGGACTGCCTTTACATGTCTGTAAAGTGTCCCCATGCCCACCTATGTTGCCTGATAGATTGTAGGCAATATTTAGGTATTTCTAAATCAGATGAAAGGCACACACCTTTTACTGTAGCTTTATTCTATTTTATTTTATGTGCCTGAATGTTGCCTTTAAAAAACTCTGTGGCAATCCATGGTTTAACTGATCTAAGAACTCAATAGGTGAGATTAGACAAGAGTGGGCACATTTATGGCTCATACGTATTAATATACTGGTCTTCCTACGTCCTCACAGGAGCAGAAGAGCCTTGGATTTGAGACCTAGACTTATTAAATTGTAAACTTTAGGCGGGTAGAAACTAGGTCTGTTTGGGTTACCACTCTATTCCCAGAGCTTATCATAGTATATGGCATGAAGTTGGCAATTAATTCATATTTTTTGAATGAATGAAGGAATGAAAAATTTCAGTTCTGTGGCTTGACTTAAGTTTTGGGCAACTTAATATAACAGTAGTAATTTTTAATGTTAGAGATTGCAGAGAGGCAAGTGTTCTTACACATTGCTGGTGGGTATGTAATCATGTTAACCACATCTGCAAAGACCCTTTTTCCAAATAAGGTAATATTCACAGGTTCCAAGCATTTGACGTGGCTGTCTTTTGGGAGGCCATTTCTTAGTCTCCCCCATCCACCTTCAAGCTGTTCTTCGTAAAGCAACCTTGGTTTGAAATGGTAGCTTGGCCATGTCACTCCCTGTTGCTCTCAGCCTACACGCCACACTTCAGCAACGCTCTTCCTGATTAGGCCCCTGTTTATTTCTCCAGCCTTATTGCTTGCCATACCACGACCTCGCGCCTTCTTTCCGACGTTCTAAATGAACTCTTTTTGTTTTTTGTAGTTTTTGTGAGTTTCCATTTCCTTTCTTTCTTGCTTCTCGACCTTTCTTCGTACATTCTTGTCTCTTTGCCAGGAACATGCACATTCCCTTTGCCTGTCTAACAGTCATTTCAGGTTTTAGCTCAGACATCCAGATCTCCCTTGAAGCCTTCCTATATCACAAAATCCAGATCAGGTATACTCTCTCCAGGTCTCCACTTGCCCTGTCACAGTATCTCTTATTTAAGTGTATGGGGTAATTGCTTAGTTTCTAGTCCTAATTTCATAGTCCCTAGTTGGCTATAAGTACTGTGGGGCAGGGGCTCTGTCTTTTATATCACAGCCTCCAGATCTAGCACAGTCCCCGGCACAGAGTAAATAGTTGTTGAATAAATAAATAGTAGAAGAAAAAAAAGGGGATTGGGGTTCCAACGGCTAGAATTTGAGTTTGGAGTTGACTTATGTTTTTGAATAAATATTGAGGTTGAAAATAACTTAATCTCTTCTTTGTTCAGGCTTATGAGATAAAGACACAGAGGTCTGATGCTCCATCACCAGCATTTTTATCTACAACCCTCTCTGCTTTAGATGAAGCCCTGCATGGTGGTGTAGCTTGTGGATCCCTCACAGAGGTAAAAAAGAAACTTTCCAAACCTTCTTCCATTGACTTAGAACCTTCAGAGCCAGGGGAAAAAGGTTAATTAAAAACATAAATTATTTTGGGAATATTCATCTAAATTATAAGTAGCTCAAGGGCATGGTTCTCCACTCAGTCCCTAGTACAATACTAGTACAGTACATCAAAAGGAAGATGCTCCAAAAAAAATCCCTGCTGACTGACTGAAATCTGCTTGCGTTGCTGTTTCTTTGAATTAGAAAGTGATGAATATTATGAAATAATATGAAACAATTTGGGGGAATTAGAAAAGGATCACTACTTAGTGTATTAGGAAGGAAAATTTGAAATTTTATTAACATGTGGGCAAATTATAGTATTAAACTGAAATGAGCTATTTTCACTTCCTGTTAAAGATAAAATTTGGTTCTAGGAAGTAATAGGTTGTTGTATTAGTTATATATTTTTGCATAACAAATTACCCCCAAACTAAGTGGCTTAAACAACAATAAACATTGATTTCCGTTTCTTTGGGAGTGGCTTAGCTCAGTGATGTTGGCGAAGGATGCGAGGGGGCAGGTTGGTGCTAGTTGTTGGCGGAGGTCACGATTCCTCCCCAGAGGGCTCTCCACTGGTTGCTTGAGTCTCCTCGTGACACGATGTCTGACTCCCTCAGGCAAGATGGAAATGGCTATTGCTTTGATGATTCAGCTTTGGAAGTTATATACCATCACCTCCGCCACTTTCTCTTCTTTAGAAGCGGGTAATTAAGTCCAGCCCACATTCAAGGAAAGGGAAATTAGACTCTACCTTTTGAAAGAAGTGTCAAGAATTTGAGGATATTTTAAAGCCACAACAGTTCTTTTCCTTGAAAACTACATTCATGTGCTTACTGGTCCTCATGTGGTGACTCCATAGACTATGTTTACCAGAACACTCCTGAGGGACTTCTTGCGTGAGAGTTCTAGGGGAATAGATGCTTGAAACAAACTTTTTAACAAGAGTAGACGCTTATATTCTGATAGGCATAAATTTAACTGTAGATATTTTCCCTTGAAAATAGGGGACCTGTTTTAGGTAGTATACATTATTTTATTTCCGGTCTTCCAAGAAAGATTTTTTTTTATAAAGTTTTTTTTTTTTTAATTTTTATTTATTTTATTTTTGGCTGTATTGGGTCTTCGTTGCTGCGTGTGGGCTTTTCTCTGGTTGTGGCAAGTGGGAGCTACTTTTCGTTGCGGTGCATGGGCTTCTCATTTTGGTGGCTTCTCTTGTTGCGGAGCACGGGCTCTAGGCACGTGGACTTCAGTAGTTGTGGCACACGGGCTCAGTAGTTGTGGGTCGCAGACTGAGCAGTTGTGGCTCGTGGGCTCTAGAGTGCAGGCGCAGTAGTTGTGGCACATGGGCTTAGTTGCTCTGCGGCATATGGGATCTTCCTGGACCAGGGCTCGAACCCGTGTCCCCTGAATTGGCAGGCGGATTCTTAACTACTGCACCACCAGGGAAGCCCACCAAGAAAGATTTTAAAATATGTGTGTGCTATGCCTAGTAGATGCCTATTGGATAATAGGTAAATGAATGAAAGAGTGAATTAACCTTTAATAGAAATTAGAATGTGCTGTTGCAGGGCACTGCCACCAGATGGTGCCAGAATCCTATCTTACATAATCTTTTTGTGATCTAGTTGGACCTTTGTTGAAATAGGTTTATTTAAAAAAAAAAAGGAAGAGGCTTTATAGTAATTGTGATCCACAGTTATAAACTTACTTATTTAAATAGCAAAACTTCAGGAAGATTAACCAACAAATACTTTCTTATTTTTTAAGTTTTGGAATAGTTTCAATACTTTCTCATGTAGCTTTTATCAATTCTTTCTGAATCCAAGAGATAGTTACAAGCCATTAGATGTTTTTTCATCATCTGATTGGCTGACATGGGATATAAATACCCTGATTGCTTATTAGAGGCAAGTTCTCTACTTTCTGTTTCAGCTCCAGGTAGCCTCTGCAGTCTTTTTGTGATTTTTCAGCTGAGTACAGGGAGTATTTGTTGACCTTGTATTAAAAACAAAAATTTAATATCTATCTTATGTATACAAGATTAAATACATCCTGCATGTGTAAGTTATGAACATTTATGAGCCTGTGACCCAATATAAAACGCAGAACAATACCAAAATCATTGAAACCATCTGTGGGCTCCTCCCTGATCCCATCTTTGGCCTTCTGTTGGGAGGTAACTTCCATTCTGAATTTCCACCATTGCTATCTTTTTTTTTTAATTGAAGTATAGTTGATTTACAATATTATATTGGTGTCAGGTGTACAGCATAGTGATTCTACCATTGCTGTACTTTTTTTCCCCAATGGTTACCAATACCTATAGTTTTCCTTTATCACTCATATACATAGGAAATGTAGCATTTTATTTAGTTTTGCTTATTTTTGAGCTCTATTACACAATATATTGGTGATTAAATCATATCTCTTCTATGAATTGATTTTTCCACTTAATATTATTTTCTAAGATTTATCCATGTTGCAAGTAGCAAGAGTATAATTCATTTTCACTGCTGTGTCATACTCCGTTTTGAAAATATGGCCACAGTTTATTTATCCCTTCTCCTGTGAGTGAACATTTGGGTTGTTTCCAAATATTAGCAGTTTGCTGCTAATATAAACAAGTCCTGTGAAAACTGTTGTACATGTCTCCTGGATCACATGTACAGGTATTTCTCTAGGGCACAGATTGGCAAACTACTGCGCAGTGATCAAATCTGGACAGCTGCCTGTTTTTTATAAATAAAGTTTTATTGTAACACAACTATGTTCATTTGTATACATTTTGTCTGTGGCAGTTTTTGAGATACAAGGCAGAGTTGCGTTAGTTGTGGCAGAGACCTCATGGTTTGCAAAGCCTAAAATATTTACTAGCTGGCTCCTGTCTAGGGGATCTCCCTTGGAGTGATTTGCTGGTTATTATAGAGTATGCACATAGGTAACATTGCAGAATCAGGACAAATTGTTTTCCAGAGTGGTTGTGCCTGTTTACATTCCTATGAGCGATGTGCACGAATACCTCTTGCTCCGTGTCTTCTTACCTTGGTATTATCTGACTTCTCAGTTTCTGCCCATCTTTGTGATCTTAGTTTTCATTTTCCTGATTACTAATGAGCTGGAATATCTTTTTATAAATCATTCGGCTATTTAAAAAAATAATTTTATTTTATTTTTTTATACAGCAGGTTCTTATTAGTCATCCATTTTATACACATCAGTGTATACATGTCAATCCCAGTCTCTCAATTCATCACACCACGATCCCCACCCCCCGCCACTTTCTCCCCTTGGTGTCCATACGTTTGTTCTCTACATCTGTGTCTCTATTTCTGCCCTGCAAACCAGTTCATCTGTACCATTTTTCTAGGTTCCATATATACGTGTTAATATACGATATTTGTTTTTCTCTTTCTGACTTACTTCACTCTGTATGACAGTCTCTAGATCCATCCACGTCTCTACAAATGACACAGTTTCGTTCCTCTTTATGGCTGAGTAATATTCCATTGTATATATGTACCACATCTTCTTTACCCATTCGTCTGTTGATGGGCATTTAGGGTGCTTCCATGACCTGGCTATTGTAAATAGTGCTGCAATGAACATTGGGGAGCATGTGTCTTTTTGAATTATGATTTTCTCTGGGTATATGCCCAGTAGTGGGATTGCTGGGTCATATGGTAATTCTATATTTAGCTTTTTAGGGAACCTCCATACTGTTCTCCATAGTGGCTGTATCAATTTACATTCCCACGAACACCCTCTCCAGGATTTGTTGTTTGTAGATGTTCTGATGATGCACATTTTAACTGGTGTGAGGTGATAAATCATTGCAGTTTTGATTTACATTTCTCTAATGATTAGTGATGTTCAGCAGCTTTTCATGTGCTTCTTGCCCATCTGTATGTCTTCTTTGGAGAAATGTCTAGGTCTTCTGCCCATTTTTGGATTGGGTTGTTTTTTTTTTTAATATTGAGCTGCATGAGCTGTTTATATATTTTGGAGATTAATCCTTTGTCCATTGATTAGTTTGCAAATATTTTCTCCCATTCTGAGGGTTGTCTTTTTGTCTTCTTTGTAGTTTCCTTTGCTGTGCAAAAGCTTTTAAGTTTCATTAGGTCCCATTTGTTTATTTTTGTTTTTATTTCCATTACTCTAGGCCATGGATCAAAAAAGATCTTGCTGTGATTTATGTCAAAGAGTGTTCTTCCTATGTTTTCCTCTAAGAGTTTTATAGTGCCCAGCCTTACATTTAGGTCTTTAATCCATTTTGAGTTTTATTTTTGTGTATGGTGTTAAGGAGTGTTCTAATTTCATTCTTTTACATGTAGCTGTCCAGTTTTCCCAGCACCACTTATTAAAGAGACTGTCTTTTCTCCATTGTATATCCTTGCCTCCTTTGTCATAGATTAGTTGACCATAGGTGCGTAGGTTTATCTCTGGGCGTTCTATCCTGTTTCATTGATCTGTATTTCTGTTTTTGCACCAGTACCATGTTGTCTTGATTCCTGTAGCTTTATAGTATGTCTGAAGTCAGGAAGTCTGATTCCTCCGGCTCCGTTTTTTTCCCTCAAGACTGCTTTGGCTCTTTGGGGTCTTTTGTGTCTCCATACAAATTTTTAGATTTCTTGTTCTAGTTCTGTAAAAATTGCCACTGGTAATTTGATAGGGATTGCATTGAATCTGTAGATTACTTTGGGTAGTACATCATTTTCACAAGTTTGATTCTTCTAATCCAACAACATGGAATATCTCTCCATCTGTTTATGTCATCTTTGATTTCTTTCATCAGTGTCTTATAGTTTTCTGAGTACAGGTCTTTTAACTCCTTAGGTAGGTTTATTCCTACGTATTTTATTCTTTTTGTTGCAGTGGTAAATGGGAGTGTTTCCTTAATTTCTCTTTCTGATCTTTCGTTGTTAGTGTATAGGACTGCAAGAGATTTCTGTGCATTAAT